ACCTTAGCATGGTATTTTAAAGTTCATCCATATTTTATCATGTATGGGTACTTTGTTCCTTTTCTTATTAATAGAATTTATTTTTTTAAGATTTTATTTATTTATTCATGAGAGACACAGAGGGAGAGAGGCAGAGACATAGGCAGAGGGAGAAGCAGGCTCCATTCAGGGAGCCTGACGTGGGAATCGATCCCAGGATTCTAGGATCACACTCTGGACCGAAGACAGGTGTTAAACCGCTGAGCCACCCAGGGATCCCTTGAATTTATTTTTTAAAGCATTTTTAGGTTTATAGAAAAGCTTAGCAGAGAGTACAGAGAGTTTTGTAAAAGCTCTTCTTCTCATATCTCCCCCACATCTCCCCACAATTTCTCCTGCTATTATTATCTTGCATTTGTGGTACGTTTGTTGTGATTGGTGAACTAGTATCAATATATTATTATTAACTGAAGTCTGTTGTTTACATTAAGATTCATCCTTTGTGTTGTATGATCGTGTTTTGACAAATATGTAATGTCACGTGTATACCATTAGAGTATCAAACAGAATAGTTCTACTGCCCTAAATATCCCCTATGTTCCATCGGTTCATCCCTCCCTTTCCACTTAACCTCTGGCAACTACTCATCTTTTTACTAGTACTTTTTTCAGAATGTCATATAGTTTCAGAATGTCATAAGTAACCATTTAATATGTAATTTCTGGCAACTACTAGCCATTTTAAAAAAAGATTTGAGAGAGAGAGGGCATGTGCGTGGAAGTGTGGGGGAGGGCAAAGGGAAAGGGAGAGAGAGAATCCCCCCACCAGCAAGCTCCCCACTGAGCACAGAGCCTGACACAGGGCTGCAAGGCTCCATCCCAGGACCCTGGGATCATGGCCTAAGCCAAAATCAAGAGCTAGATCTTTAACCGACTGAGCCACCAAGGTACCCTCAACCACTAACCTTTTTAAAAAGTCTTTAATTGAGATATAAATGACATACATTATATTAGTTTCAGATATACAAGATAATGATTTGATGTTTGTATACATTTTGTTGTGTATACATACAATAAATCTAGTTAGCATTTGTCACCTTACATAGTTACAAAGAAATTTATTTTCTTGTGATGAGAACATGTAAGACCTACTTAGCAACTTTCAAATATACAATGCAGTATTATTAAATAGTCACCATTCTGTACATCAGTGAGCTGTTTAGTGTTACCTTTTTCACAATCTCACATGGTTGGAATCATACAACATGTAAGCTTTTCAGACTGGCTTCTTTCACTTAGCAATATGTATTTAAATTTTCTCTGTCTTTCCACAGCTCAATTGATAGCTCATTTCTTTTTATTGCTGAATAATATTACACTGCGTGGAGGTACCATAGTTTATTTATCCATTTGCTTATTGAAGAACATCTTGGTTGCTTCTAAGTTTTGGCAGTTATAAACTGCTATAAACATTCAGGTTTATACATACAAGCCTTTATGTACATAAAGGTACATATGGTATATACCTATGGTATAGGTGCTATAAACCTAGAGGTTTCTGGGATGCCTGGGTAGCTCAGTGGTTGAGTGTCTGACTTCAGCTCAGGGCGTAATCTGGGATTCCCAGGATCAAGTCCTGCATGGGGCTCCCTGCATGGAGCCTGCTTCTCCTCCCTCTGCCTGTGTCTCTGCCTCTATGTGTCTCTCATGAATAAATAAATAAAATCTTTAAAAAGTATATAGAAGTTTCTGTGTGGACATAAACTTTCAACTCATTTGGGCAAGTATCAAGGTGCATGATTGCTAGATCATCTGGTAAGCTGTGTTTAGACGGCTGTGTTTAAGACACTACCAAACTGTCCCAGGCACCCCTAGAGTCACACAGGTACCTCTGATCTTCACTTTTGAAAGGACTTTTTATTTTATTTTATTTTTTAGTTCTATCTTTGTTTTCAAATCTTCCTTTTTTCCTAAAGATTTATTTCAAATCTTCCTTTTCTCAAAAAGTTTGAAAACTGCTGAAAAATGTAAATTAGAATTCTTAAAATAAAATTAAATTAAATTAAAATTAAAATGGTATTCCAGAGAAAAAGTAGCTAGTTAAGCTGGCATCTCAAAAATCACAGTGGGGCACCTGCATGGCTCAGTTGGTTAAGTGTCCAATTCCTCATTTAGGCTTAGGTCATGATCTCACGGTAGTGAGATAGAGCCCCGTTGGTTCCGTGCTCAATGGAGTCTGCTTGAGATTCTCTCTCTCTCTCTCTCTCTCTCTCTCTCCCCCTCCCTCCCTCCCTCCCTCCCTCCCCCTATCCCTTTGCCCCTCCCTGCTACATACACACACTCTCTGTAAAATAAATAAATAAATCTTTTTTAAAAAAATCACATAAATGGGATCCCTGGGTGGCGCAGCGGTTTGGCACCTGCCTTTGGCCCAGGGCGCGATCCTGGAGACCCCGGATCGAATCCCACGTCGGGCTCCCGGTGCATGGAGCCTGCTTCTCCCTCTGCCTGTGTCTCTGCCTCTCTCTCTCTCGTCTCTGTGACTATCATAAATAAATAAATAAATAAATAAATAAATAAATAAATAAATAAATAAAAATCACATAAATGTTTTCCTTCAGGGCATCCACCATACTTCATTATGCAGCAGTACTTCATGCATATTTCTCATTTAGTCACATGAATAAAAATCATTTTTACTACTTTTTAAGGGATATTCTTAAGTGAAACTGGTTATTTTAAAAAACTGCAAGTACATGATGGTAAAGAGCATTCTATGAGTCTTGAGTCATCCTAAGTCCCTGGTAGTTTTGCTTTTGTACTGTAAGTGCAACAGTGGAAAAGCTAACTAGTATTTTAATATTTTTTTAAGATTTTATTTATTTATTCATGAGAGACACACAGAGAGAGAGAGGCAGAGACACAGGCAGAGGGAGAAGCAGACTCCAAGCAGGGAGCCCAATGTGGGACTCGATTCTGGGTCTTCAGGATCACGCCCTGGGCTGAAGGCAGCGCTAAACCACTGAGCTACCCGGGCTGCCCATATTTTAATATTGTTATGAAAGTAATTAAAAAAAATAGTTTTGATTTTGTGGACCCTTGTACATGTCTCAGGGACCTTCAGGGGTCTAGGAACCACACTCTAAGAACTGCTACATTTTGTTTCGGTATCTTTTAACTTGTTCCAAAATATTAAGTTATAACTTTCATTTGTGATATATCTTTCTGGAGTGCTTTCATTCTTTAGTGATGTTACTCTCATATAAAATTGAACTGTAATCCTTTCCTGTGGCTCTTTAAGTCCAATAAGTTTTCCTATACTTTTACATGGTAAGAGTGGATGGGAGTAGCTTTTCTGGCTTCAAGGTTTTGGAGCTCCCTCTTCTGTTATGTTCACAAAGTGCTGAAAACTGGGGGCTTTACACTTCCTGATAACTGCCATCTTTGCTTCTCTCCCCACTTGTATCTTGATCTTCTTTTTCCTTTGAACCTGTTGTTTCTCTCCCATTCAATGTGGATTCTACTCTCACTAATTTCTCCCTGATGTGGGTCTTGTCTTGAAAGAGACCTTCGGTTTATTACTTTTCAGAGTTTATAGGGCCCAGACTGCTCTAGAACCTTAAAACTTATTTCAGTGAAGTCCCCTGGAACTCACAAATTGGATCTTGCAGAACCTCCTTACAGTTTTGATTACAATTTTATTTGATTCATCACATTTGGTAGTGAGTTCCTATTGACAATTTTGAGATTCTTCTCTATTTAGTGCTATTAAAAGTCTAATTGACTTTCTCCCATATTCATGAATATATTATATTTGTATATATGTATATACTTTAAGGATTTTTTTAAAGATTTTATTTATTTACTCATGAGAAACAGAGAGAGAGAAAGAGAGGCAGAGACACAGGCAGAGGGAAAAGCAGGCTCCATGCAGGGAGTCCGATGTGGGACTCCATCCCTGATCTCTGAGATCACGCCCTGAGCCAAAGGCAGATGCCCAACCTCTGACCCACCCAGGCATCCCAGTATATATGTATATATATTCTTTAAAATATAGTTACACATATACACACTTTTCCCTCACATAATGTCTTTGGGATCTTTCCATATGATCATCTACGAATCTACCTCATTCTTTTTGATAATTGTGTAACAATAATTAACACATATATAGCAACTATCATGTATCAGATACTGTTCTAAGTTTTGTATATATTAATTTAATCCCTACAACACCTTATGAATTAATTACTGTTATTATCCCCATTTTACAGACAAGGAAACTAAAGTACAGAGAGAGTAAGAGACTTGTACAAAGCCACAGATTTAGTACTTTGTCCATTGTATCAATCTACTGTTATTTAGGACATTAAGTTCTACTCTCCTACTGATGGACCCTGTGATAGTTTTCTTTTTTTTTTTTCTTAATTATTTTTTTTTAGATTTTATTTATTTATCCATGAGAGACAGAAAGAGAGAGAGAGAGAGAGAGAGGCAGAGACACAGGCAGAGAGAGAAGCAGCGTCCCCACAAGGAGCCCCATATGGGACTCAATCCCAGACCCCAGGATCATGCCCTGAGTGAAACGCAGATGCTCAACTGCTGAGCTACCCAAGCGTCCCTTTTTTCTTTCTTTTTAAACTATCCTAAAACCTTTCTGCGATTGATACCCATATGTATATATTATATATCCTGGCAGAATTTTTTAGTATAATAGATAGGGCTAAATCCTAGCAGGGGGATTGCTGAATTCCTTTTAAAATTTGTTTTCAGAGCTTTTGGAGACTTTTACTACATTCTTCTGGGTGAATAGAGAAATATAAGTGTTCTGTAAAACCAAGATTTGGTATCATTGTATTAGGCGACATTGCTACTTTTAAAAGGAAGATCTGATCTTCTTACGAACTTTGGATGTAGGGCCTTTCACAAATGGGTTATGGGAGGAAGGAAGACCGATTTTTACTGACTCTGTTGTTTATCTAAACAGAGTTCATAATATATCTACTGGTGATCTCTTTTCAGAATTGGTGGAGTCTCTTTCATTGCAGGGATCTTATGCTGGAAAAATTCATTCCATCGGTGATGCCTTCAGAAATTTTAAAAACCTCCGATCCTTAGATTTATCAAGAAATTTGATCACAAGTCTGAAGGTAAGTTCTATATTCTATAACTAGTCGTTCCAGCCCAATTTATTTTAGTAGTAGTAGTAGTTATTTTGATGGAAAGAAATAAGAGATAGATAAAGTCAGCCTGGGGAATATATGATCTTCCTTTTAAATGTTTCTAAATTTTATTATTTACTATAAAACTGATTCAGCTTTATTCTATGTTTGAAATTTTCTGGTATAAAATATTGGGGAAAATTTCTTTTGTACTCAAGGAAAATTATATTAAACAATCACAGGCTAAGGCAATAGGACATTTTTTTTATATGTGTGTAAAAAGAAAATATGAGAAGCCCTCGTGAAAGTACATATTCTTAGTTCCTACTCTGAGATTCTGAGTTAACCGGTCTGGGGTGGGCTCAGGATACACCCAGGGGATTCTGAGGATGTTGGTACACGGAGCACATGTGGAGAAACACTGGTCTGGATTGTTACTGTGGGTGTTTTCAAGGAGGAAGAGGAAATGGTGGTCTTGAAAACAGAGAAAAATGTATAGATCAAGGGATGGTAGAGCAGAGGGCAGGACTGGAAAGTAGGCTTAAGCAGAGTATGTGAGGATTAGCAAATACACAAAGAGCTCTACAAATATAAGTGTGCACACATAAGTTCCACACAGAACTTCCACCTCTGTTTTCTTTGTGGTAGATGCCCAAATGGTATTTCTTCCGTATGTTCCCTTTTTACCCAGTTAGGTGCCTGTCTTGATTAAGCCCTTCTTTGCAAGGCTTAAGGTGAAAGACTCACAAATGCTTTTCAGGATTAGTCAGTGATCTCATGGATTATTCTGCCAGTTTTGTGCTTCTAAGGGGATATTTATTCAACAAGACAAGCCAGACTCATTGTCAAGTTCTAAAAACAAAGGACTCTAAAAGAGGAAGTTCAAGCAAGATTTCCAGCTAGGACTCCGAAAAGCAGAAGCTGCAAGTTAAACTAAGTCTTTAGACTATTTGGGAGCAGCCATTTATATTTGGCACAACAATTTCAGAAAGCATTAGTTCAGAGTTACTTAAGTCTCGTCTTCACATGTATCTTTGTTAATTTTCAGGCTAAAAAATTGAGTGAACGTTGTCATAATTTGTTTTTATCTTACTTTCTTTCCATTTCTGTAAATTGGGCAAAAAAAACTGTTGTAAAAATTAATCAAATTAGCATGTGTACATTGCTTGGCATATAGGAAGCACTTAGTAAATGTTTTCTGCATTTTTTTGCATCTATGACTTACCTATATATGCTCATCTCTAGCAGTTCTGAATCAATTTTCTTAATTTTCTCAATTACTCAGGGGATAAATGTTTTGTGATTTTTTCTAGTGTAACTTTGAGGAATACATGAATTCATGCCAAGTGGGAAAAGTGAGAGGAGGATAGAAGTCATTTCCTTGATTTTTACACTGAGAGACCTTAAAAGATTACTTAAGCTGGGCCATTAGACACATTTAAAGAAAGTCCTAATGGTGTTCTGCCCTGAGAGTGGGGCCAAAGTCAGTGAGAACTATTCCTAACTACTGATCCTTTCACAACATAGAAGCTAATGGAATAGAAAAAAGCCAGAAAGAAATGAATTGGAGTGTGAACAGGATTATCTATTCAGAAATGCTTTGTGTATATCTTTGAGTTTTCTAAATTTTCTACAAGAAAATGGTAATTTTGAATGAGAGAAGACTAAAAAATATTATTTCATAAATACATGATGGAAAATAATTTTACTGAAATTACTCTCAATGAGTTCCTTCTATGCTAAGTATTTTTGCTACTAAAATATGATTATACATATATGTACATGTTTTGAATTATTGTCTTGAAGTTTAATGTTGGGCAAAAGCAGCTAACTAGCCAAATACATAAAAATTAAACAATATTTTCAGTAGTAGATTTCAGCAAAGAAGGCAAATTGTGGCTTTTCCTCTCCAGTATCCCAGAGAAATAGAGAGGGTGGGGTAATTCTGAAAGGAGAAACAAGGATAAGAAGGGTTCCAGACTGTTCCAAGAGGGAAGAATTAGATACAGCATTGTTTCATTTTCCTATATACTCCATTGACCCTAAACATGAGGCATTGAGATATAAGGACATATTACACACACACACACACACACACACACACACACATTAATTTTTTTTAATTATACCCTTCTACCCACTAGAACTATCTCTTTTGCCTACCTCCTTTCCTCTTGAAAATTGGGGTGCTTCTGGGATCTGGAGAGTGGATGTGGCAAGGGTAAGAGAAGGGTAAAAGTAGCTTGGGCTAACCACTGGAAAAGAGAATAATCAGGGAGCAACAGAAGTAGATAACTGACTGCAGATATTTCCAGTCAGATTTGGTAAGGAGAAAATGTATGATATCTACAGGTTATTTAATATATAAAACATCTAGTGCCCATGGGCTGCATTGTTCTTATTCTCAGGCATCTAAATAAGAGTTTCACCCTTGCCTTTCTCACGGGTGACTCAGGTAACATGTTTAAGGATGGAAGTAATAGATATATTTCCATATATTTATCTGTGAGATTCCTAGTCCTTACCAATGTGTGATTTCATAATGTGGTCTTTTCCTTGCAGGGTATCCAGTATTTATGTTCACTCCAAGAGCTGAATTTATATTATAACAACATTCCTTCATTAGTGGAGGTGTCCCGCCTACAGCCTTTACCCTTCCTCAAAGAACTAGATTTGAGACTCAATCCTGTTGTCAGGAAAGATACAGATTATAGGCTCTTCGCTGTGTACACGCTACAAACTCTGGAGAAACTGGGTGAGACCCTCCTCCCCTGTTCCTTGTCCCAGAATTTACATTAAACCAGCTCCCTCCTAACCTTTTGGGTGTTGGCCCAGAGTGTGCGCTGGCAGGATATATTTGTTTATTAGTCAATATTTATGTAATTCTTTTGGGTTGGCAGGATGTATGACGAGTCCTTTATTATTGAATGACAATCTGATTTTATCAGTTACTTCCAGCTTTAGTTTTCTTCAGTTGATGGTTTCACCACCACTTCCTCCCCAACAGAGTTTCCAGGTTGAGATTTATTTTTCCAGGTGCCCCAAATTTGCAACTATATTAACAATAGAAAATGAATACAACAACTCTTTGGGGTTTAATGTCAAGGAGCAATAAAATATTCCTTCAAATGAGCTGCATTTCTTTATAATTTTATTGTTGAGTATACATTTCTTATTGATACAAACTTGGATTTCACATGCCCCTAGGAAAGTTACTGTGGGGAAACTAATTTCTTTCAGAAATGGTTTAACTCTCAACATAATATTAGACCATTTGAATTGTTTGCTGCCTAAACTCTACTTTCCTGCAGGTGTAGTTACACTTATGTGGCAGTTGTTGCTATGGTATCCCTGCAGTCTCCCTGAGTTACTACTTGCTGCAGTGACAACATAATAGCATTATTTTGTGACCTGTCTCTAACAAAAGAATATGATACTGATCTTTAGTTTTTACTCTGTGAATATGGTTTTCTGACCCAGTACTGTTTACTCCAAAAAAGAAATATGCTCAGACCACGGTTTTTGCCTCCAGATGACCGAGCTGTGCGAGAAAGTGAGAGAAAAGCTGCCAAGCTGCATTTTAGTCAGTTGGGCAACAGTGAAAATTTTCTTTTAGAGGTGGAAAAAAGGTAAGACAATTCTTTACCAAAAAAAAAAAAATTAGTTTGGGTCAGACATAGACAGTAGTGAATTCCAACTTAATGTCTTCATTTTCTAGCAGAAATCTTCACAAGGTATAAGAATCCTCAGATCAGAAATAAAAATATTTAACATATCGAGATTTATCTGGGATGAGAATCTGGCCCTCAGAGGGAACATTTCTGCTTTCTTGAACTATTGGGTCTGCTTTGGATTAATTGTTGATAATTCTCTAAAGCTGCTGTTCAAAGCTTAAAGATATGGATACTATGAGAAATCATCCCTGTAAATGCTTACCAACTCTTTCTTGGAGTTATAAATCAGTACATGGTCTTTTCCTATTGAATTAGAAGGTTTATATTACCATGGAGGTTAGTTTGTTAAAAGGTAAGGGAAACATTTATCTACAGAACCAAAAGTAAACAGACCTTGAAGCTCTAAAGTATCTGAAAGGTAGATTTTTCTACTTCTTGTTACTAAAACCTGATCAAAATAAGATAACCATATCTTCTACTCCAAAACTCATGTTCTTTATTTTTAAAAAGTAGCTTTATTATTTTTGGAAAACAGAAGTCCATTACAATTTACATAATACAGAAAAGTGCAATGAAAAATGTCAAAATCACCCCATACTGTGCTACCAAGAGCTAACTACTAGTAATGTTTGATATATATCCTTCTAGACATCTGTGTACCTACCTATAGATACATGTACATGTGTCTGTTAGTATTGTTTTCTTTTTTTTATTTTTATTTTTTTATTTTTATTTTTTGAGAGAGAGAGAGAGAGGCAGAGACATAGGCAGAGGGAGAAGCAGGCTCCATGCACCGGGAGCCTGACGTGGGACTCAATCCCGGGTCTCCAGGATCGCGCCCTGGGCCAAAGGCAGGCGCTAAACCGCTGCGCCACCCAGGGATCCCCCTAGTATTGTTTTCTGATAATAAAAGTAATGCATACTTACTGAGATTTTGGAAAGTATAGAAAAACCAGAAGAAATAAATAAGCAACTCATAATTTCATTACCCAGAAATAAACATTAATTATAGTAAATATCCTCTTAGTTTTAGGTATGTATGTGTATACAATATCTATATTATATAATAGATCTTTATACATTAATAATAAAATAATACATATATTTATAGTAATTTGCTTCCTATACATACCATTTTTAGTTTGATAAGATATGAACATGTCTCCACAACGTTAAATATTCTTTTTTTTTTAAGATTTTATTTAGGGGATCCCTGGGTGGCGCAGCGGTTTAGCGCCTGCCTTTGGCCCAGGGCACAATCCTGGAGACCTGGGATCGAGTACCACGTCGGGCTCCCGGTGCATGGAGCCTGCTTCTCCCTCTGCCTGTGTCTCTGCCTCTCTCTCTCTCTGTGTGTGTGTGTGTGTGACTATCATGAATAAATAAAAATTAAAAAAAAAATTTTTTTTAAATAAAGATTTTATTTATTCATGAGGGACACAGAGAGAGGCAGAGAGAAAAGCAGAGTCATAGGCAGAGGGAGGAGAAGCAGTTTCCATATAAGGAGCCCAGTGTAAGACTTGATCCTGGGACTCCAGGATCACACCCTGAGCATAATGCATATGTTCAACCACAGAGCCACCCAGGCATCCCAGAATTAAATATTCTCCAAAATGAGATTTTTTCTTTGTTTATTGCCTTTCCCCTCCGTAAGACCTAGGACTTTGCTTGTCGTATTTATTGCGGTATTCCCTAGTGCCTAAAACAATGCCTGAGACATATAAGGCTCCAAGAAATAATTTGTTGAATGATGAATGAATGAAGTCAATGTCTGCTCTGTTGGCCTGAGATCTTTCCTTTGTCTCTCTCTGCTCTGATCCTTTATTTATTTTATAATGTAACCCTATATATATATTTTTTTTAGTTCTCTATTTTTAAAATCAAGTTTAGGGCAGCCCCGGTGGCGCAGTGGTTTAGCGCCGTCTGCAGCCTGGGGTGTGATCCTGGAGACCGAGGACTGAGTCCCACATCGGGCTTCCTGCATGGAGCCTGCTTCTCCCTCTGCCTGTGTCTCTGCCTCTCTCTCTTCGCTCTCTCTAAATGAATAAATAAATAAATCTTTAAAAAAATTAAAATAAAATCAAGTTTATTGAGGTTTTTATATAGAGTAAAATTCACCCTGCTATAGAAAGAAATGGAACGTTCTGGGATCCCTGGGTGGCGCAGCGGTTTGGCGCCTGCCTTTGGCCCAGGGAGCGATCTTGGAGACATGGGATGGAATCCCACATCGGGCTCCCGGTGCATGGAGCCCTTGCTTCCCTCTGCTGTCTCCCTCTGCCTGTGTCTCTCTCTCTCTCTCTCTCTCTCTCTCTCTGTGTGACTATCATAAATAAATAAAAATTAAAAAAAGGAATGTTCCTAAAAATTATTTGTATATATATTTTGTCAACTAATTATTTTAATTCATTGAGGGTACCCTCTTTACTACAGAAATACAGAGATGAATTAATGTATAATTAAATACATTTCCTAGTAAGGCAGATAATTAGCACTATCATATTTCTGTTTAATTACCATATGATTGCAAACCCAGAGGTAAAATGTTACTCAAGTGCCCAGTCCTAGCATTAATATCTTAAAAGCTCTTCAGCATTGAGTAAAGATTTTTTTAAGTCTTTCTGAGTTCCTGTTTTCCCAACCTATAGATAATAGGGGAGCCTTTATGATTAAATGAAATGGTGCGTGTAAAGTGCCTGGCTCATCATCTGGCCTGTCTATATGTCCCAATCTGTACTTACTGTGCTTACATCTTACTATACTGTATCAATCAAGTGCAAACATTTGCCTTTTTGTCTTTTTTATTTTTTTAACTAATGGCTGTAGTTTCCCCCACTATAATTCTTGGCAGCAGAACCTTCCTTTCTGTGCTCTATGAATTTTTTAATTTAAAAAAATTATTATTCCCTTAATCATTTAGACCTAAGTTTATGTCAAGAAAACAGTCTAAGTTCTAGGGCAGCCTGGATAGCTCGGCAGTTTAGTGAGGCCTTCAGCCCCGGGGTATGATCCTGAAGACCTGGGATCGAGTCCACATCAAGCTCCCTGCATAGAGCCTGCTTCTCCCTCTGCCTGTGTCTCTGCCCTTCTGTGTGTGTCTCATGAAAAAATTTATTAAAAAAAAAAAAAAAGCAGTCTAAGTTCTGAATTTTCTGGCTTTCATACCTTTTTTTTGGGGGGGGGCGGGATTTTATTTAGAGAGCTAGACCTTGCAAACGGGGGGGGGGGGGGGGCAGAGGGAAAGGGAATCTCAAGCAGGCTCAGCGTAACACAGTCTTTTTTTTTTTTTTCCGTAGCACAGAGTCTTATGCAGAGCCCCATCCCACGACCCTGATGAGATCATGACCTGAGCTGAAATCAAGAGTTGGATGCTCAACCAGCTGAGCCCTGACTTTCATACTTTATTTTTTTTTATTCATGAAAGACACAGAGAGAGAGGCAGAGACACAGGCAGAGAGAGAAGCAGGCTCCATGCAGGGAGCTTGAACGTGGAACTCGATCCCAGGTCTCCAGGATCATATCCCGTGCTGAAGGCAGCACCAAACCGCTGGGCCATCGGGGCTGCCCGACTTTCATACCTTAAAAGCTGAACTAGGGAGATCCCTGGGTGGTTCAGCGGTTTGGCGCCTGCCTTTGGCCCAGGGTGTGATCCTGGCGTGCCGGGATCGGGGCCCACGTCGGGCTCCCTGCATGGAGCCTGTTTCTCCCTCTGCCTATGTCTCTGCTTCTCTCTCTCTCTGTCTCTCAATAATAAATAAGTAAAATCTTTAAAAAATAAATAAATAAAAGCTGAACTATAGTGTCCTCCTCTCTCACTATTCCCAGTAATATTATGGTTTTAAAAAATGGGCTTAACTGAAATATTTGTGAACATTTCTAGAACATTTAAAAGAAATCTGATTACCATGAGTTAATGTTTTCCAAATGCATTTACTGAGTGATCTCAGAAACCTTTCCAGCTTTTTTTTTTTTTTGAGTTTTAAATAAATTATTCTTTGTGGCAGCTCTAGGGAGAAGACAATGAAAAACTGTGTGACAGACGAGAGCTCTACATCAAAAATCAATGCCAATGTTGATAACAGAATTGAAACTGGTAAGTTTTCTTTGATCACAAAATGCTTAAAACATTAGTTATTTCAGCTTTTGTGGCCAACCCTGGGTAGGACGAAGACAATATAGTTGAGAAGTAACCGACTTGAAGAAGCACAAGATTTACTGACTGTGTTTTTCCTCCTTCCTCTCACTACCAGAAAAAGCCCTATTTATTGAGTAGGCCTAAGCCAGAACCCATCAAGTACAAGCTGTACTCAGAATTCAATTTCATTTACATCCATTTACATCATTTAGTACATTCTGAAAATTGCATTGCCAGTCCCTATGGCCCCTGAGCATTGCTAGGGTGATTGATTAATTAGCCAGAGACTCATGATTCATCTGCATCAATGCAGCTCAGACCCTGGGCCTTCTGTGTTTCTCCACCTTGAACCTTTGCAGCTGCAGAATCTCTTGTGTTTGTGCTATATTCCTGGTGAGTGTTGCCTATAAGCGCTGTTGGTAAACTAATAGGATTAAAGTGGTTATGCCACATTAATGATCATGACACAGGCAACTAGATAGCTTTCCATAAAAGAAATGACATGCAGCGGACCCTTATGGATTAACCTGGCACTCATCAGATGACCTTTTAGTTGAGAAAACTTTATTCTGTAGAGGCCTTTGTCCCTTTGAAGGATATACCAAATTATTTATAATCTCTAAAAATTAATCCCTGAAAAAAAATTAATCCCTAAAATCCCAGCAATTACTTTTAAAGATGGGCTGTGTAGCTTAGACATTATGAATTTCCAGTTTATAACATATTTTGTTTTCCTTACTACGTATCTATCCATGTGGACATTTATTGGTAAGTCAGTTTCACATGATTTCATGGTAAAATAAGCCATTGTGAAGTATGATTTTTATTATTCTTTCTTGGAAATCTCAGTGCACATACATTATGGAGCATGGATTGCTTTATTTCATTTTAAATAGCATTTTTCATATTTAAAATTTGATGAAATTCTGAGGCACCCAGTTAGCTCAGTCAGTTAAGTGTCTGACTCTTGATTTCAGCTCAGGTTGTGGTCTCAGGGTTGTGGGACTGAGCCCCATATCAGGCTCTGTGCTCAGTGAGAAGTCTGCATGAGATTCTCTGTCTCCCTCAGCCCCTACCCCTGCTCACACAATAAATAAATAAAATATTTTAAAAATAAATAAAAATACAGTGGGAAGTCTACTTAGGATTCTCCTTTTGCCCATGTCCTCCCTGCTGTGCTTGCTCTCTAAAATGAATAAATACATATTTTAAATAGATAAAATTTGATGCAATTCTATTTTTTAAGATTTTATGTATTTGAGAGAGAGAGAGAGAACGCACACATGGTGGGAGGGACAGAAGGGAGGGAGAAGGAAAGAGAACCTTAAGCTGACATGAAGCCCATCATGGGTCTGAACCTGAAGCCCATCATGGGGCTCAATCTCATGACCCTGAGATCATGATCTGAGCTAAAACCAAAAGTCAGCACTTAATCTACTAAGCCACCCAGATGCCCCTGATGAAATTCTGTTGTGATAATTTTGGAAAATACTAAAAAGCATGAAGAACAGCATTTTAATCACTCATCAGCCTGTACCCTAGAGACAATCCTAATTAATAATTTGGTATACAGCCTTCCTGCATTTTATCTAGGTAAAAACATTCATATATCCATTTCCAGAATCATGAAGATATAATGAAGTATAATTTGACTGCCTCTTTTTAGACAAGCTGAATTAAACTTCATTTATGTCATATTACATCATTAGCACACATAAAAATTCACTCCATGAATTGTCTTAAAGTGCATAGTTTTAGGGCATCTGGGTAATTCAGTTAAGCGTGTGGGACTCCTGGTTTTGGCTCAGATCATGATCTTATGGGGCATCAGGCTCTGTTCTCAGCAGGGACCTGCTAAAAGATTCTCTGCCCTTGCCCCTCCCCATCCCCACATTCCTGAGCCCACTCTGTCTCTCAAATCAATCAATCAGTCAATCAATCTTTTTTTTAAAGATTTTATTTATTTATTTATTCATGAAAGACAGAGAGAGAGGCAGAGACACAGGCAGAGGGAGAAGCACGCTCCATGCAGGAAGCCCGATGCGGGACCTGATCCCGGGACTCCAGGATCATGCCCCGGGCCAAAGGCAGATGCTAAACCACTGAGCCACACAGGGTTCCAATCTTTTTTTTTTTTTTTTTTTTAAGGTGCATATTCTCTACTGAGAACAATTAGCTTTACTAGACACAGGGCATTTTAAAGGTTCTTGAAAGCTCCAGGTGTTGCCTGGATTTTTTTTTAATATAAAATTGATCTTGCTACTTTGAAACGTTAAAGAGCTTTGCTTTCCACTGAAAATTATGTTTGTGCTAGACCCCTGGGAGTGTTGCCTATAAGCACTGTTGGTAATCCAATATGACTAAAGTGGTTATGCCATGTTCAAATGGTTGTGCTACAGGCTAGGAGAAAGCTTTTTGGAGAACAATTCCCACTAGCTCAGTTGTTCCAAACAGTGCTTTCCAACCAGTCATTTACAATGATACCTATTAGCATGGCTACTATTAAAAAAAACAGAAAATAACACATGTTGGCAAGGATGTGGAAAAATTGGAACTACTGGTCCCACTGTTTGCTGAGAATATAAAATGGTACAGATATTATGGACAAGAGTATGGCAGTTTCTGAAAAAATTAAAAATAAAATTACCCTGTAAAGCAGTAATTCCACTTGGGCCTATCCTCAAAGAAGTGAAAGCAGGGTCTTAAAGAGGTGTTTGTATACCTATGTTCATAGCAGCATTATTCACAGTAGCTAAAACATGGAAGCAATCCAAATGTCCATGAACAGATTAATGGATAAGGAATGTGCGATATATACAAACAATGGAATATTATTCACTATTTAAAAAGAAGAGGGCAGCTGGGGTGGCTCAGCGGTTTAGCGCCACCTTCAGCCCAGGGTGTGATCCTGGAGACCAGGGATCGAGTCCCATGTCAGGCTTCCTGCATGGAGCCTGCTTCTCCCTCTGCCTGCTTCTCCCTCTGCCTGTGTCTCTGCCTATCTGTTTCTCGAATAAATAAATAAAATATATTTTAAAAAAAAGAAGGGATCCCTGGGTGGCTCAGTGGTTTGGCACCTGCCTTTGGCCCAGGGCGCAATCCTGGGGACCCGGGATCGAATCCCACGTAGGGCTCGCGGTGCATGGAGCCTGCTTCTCCCTCTGCCTGTGTCTCTGCCTCTCTCTCTCTCTCTCTCTCTCTCTGTGTGACTATCATAAATAAATTTAAAAAAACTTAAAAAAAAGAAGAGAATTCTGACATATGCTACATTAGTGAAACTTAAGGATATTATGCTAAGCAAAATTAGCCAGTCACAAAAAGATAAACACTGAATGATTCCAGGTATACGAGGTACTTAAAGCAGTCAATACCATAGAGACAGAAAATAGAATGGTGGTTGCCAGCGGCTGCAGGGAGGAGGAAGTAAGGCATTAGCATTTAATGGATATAGTGTCAGTTTTATAAGATGAAAAGAGTTCCAGAGATGATGGTGATGATGGTTGCACAACATTATGAATGCATTTAATACTGCTGAACTGTACACTTAAAATGGTTAAGTTAATAAATTTTGTGTCATGTGTATTTTGCCACAATAAAAATAATTGAGGAAAAAAAACCCAAATCTATGGAGTTAGTAAATATATCAGTGGTTTCCAGGGGCTAGAGGGGAGAAGGGATGACTAGGTAAGGGTCTCCCTTCATTCTTTTGCGTGAGGGGTGGGACATGTGTAGCTGCTACTGCTACTGCCAAGAGCTGAAATTGACTAAAGTTAACTTCAATTTAGCTTCCAGGTCTTCCCCCCCCCTCCCCGGGAAATGCGAGCCATTCAATAGACTCCAGAATTCCAAAATAGTTACATTAGACAGATTCTGCGGATATAATTGCCTAGGTGGAAGACAGATACAGGATGCTTCTTACTCTGCCATCCTCCCCTGTCTCCATAGTTTTACTTTTTCCAAGATGGTGTATAGTTGGAATTATTAAGTATGTAGCCTTTTAGATTGTCTTCTTTACTTAGTAATATCCCTTTAAGATTCCTTTATGTCTTTTCATGACTTGATAGCTCCTTTCTTTCTAGTGCTGAATAATATTCTGTTGTCTGGGTGTACCACAGTTTATTTATCCATTCACCTACTGAAGGATATCTTGGTTGCTTCTAAGTTTTGGCAATTTTGAAAAAAGCTGCTATAAACATCCATGTGCAGTGTGTGTAGACATACGTTTTCAACTCCTTCAGGCAAATACCAAGTGTTTAATTTTGTAAGAAACTGCCAAACTGTCACCCAATACAATCTGCTTTTTAAAATATCTTTTTATATACTGAGCTTCTTAAGTTGAAATCACTCAAACTGGATTCATATTCTCAGAATTTGTGAGAATAATGAGTTTGAGAAACACTGATGTAGATGGGCACATGTTATAGAAGCTCGGACTGTGCTAAAAGCATATGTGAAAAGGTTTTGTGGCAGATGTGGAAACAAAGTCCTTAACTGTTAAAGACAGGGGAGCCCTGGGATAGCCTGGGAGGTTAGTGAGATTGGTTTGAATATCTGTGTGAAAGGGTCAATGAGTATAGCAGGTCATAGAGAGTTGAGTAATCAGGTGGTTTGGATAGAAGGTTTATGTTGAGTAGAATGTCAGATTACTGGAGAACAAAAGATGATTTACATGCATATAGCACATATAAACTCTGAGTTGAAGGGGGTCATAACTCTTTTTAGCCAATTCGTTTTACCTTTTAATAGAATTACACCTAAAATACGTAGATCTAATTGGTATCTTATTTTAAAATAGCAAAGGGGGGCAGGCATCTGGCTGGCTCATTGGGTAGAACATGTGACTCTTGGTCTCAGGATTGTAAATTCAAGCCACACATTGGGTATAGAGATTACTTAAAATATTTTAAAAAATAAAATAACAAAGAAAAATTCATCACAATCACCCTTGTACAGGAATGAAAGCATTATTTACAATAGCCCAAAAGTCTATCAGTTGATGAATGGATAAACAAAATATGGTATATCTATATAAGGCACATTACTCAGCCATAAGAAAAGAATGAAGTACTGATACATCTTCAATATATATCTTGAAAACATCATGCTAAGTGATAGGAGCTAGACACAAAAAGCCAAATATCATATTATTCCATTTATATGAAATGCTCGGAATAGGAAAATCCATACAGAAAGTATATTGAGGGATCCCTGGGTGGCGCAGTGGTTTAGCGCCTGCCTTTGGCCCAGGGCGTGATCCTGGAGACCCGTGATCGAATCCCACGTTGGGCTCCCAGTGCATGGAGCCTGCTTCTCCCTCTGCCTATGTCTCTGCCTCTCTCTCTCTCTCTGTGTGACTATAATAAATAAATAAAAATTAAAAAAAAAGAAAGTATATTGATGGTTGCCAGGTGCTGGCAGGGAAGAGAGAATTGAAAGTGACAGCTAATTGAGTTTCTTTTCAGATAAAATAGATGGTGGTGATGGTTGACAACTTTGTGAATGTACTGAAAACCACTGAATTGTACACAGTAAAAGGGTTAATTGTATGGTATATGAATAAAGTTAAAGATTCCTCCCCCCTCTCCAAAAAAATGATTCTATAGCCCTTGGTAATTGATTGAAGTTTGAGATGAGTAAGAGTCAAAGAACTTGTTTCTGTCTTGAGGGATTGGTTGAATAGTAATGCCAGTGCTGAGATGTAGTTTTGAGTGGAAGGTGGGGAGCCTTAGTAGAAGTAGGCCTGGATGTGAAGATAATGAGTTCGGTTTAGAAAATACTGATGTTTTTCTTGTCTAGGACAGGGGCACTCCTTGGAGGCAGTTCAAGAAACTTAGGTGTGGACATCAAAAGAGAGATCAGACTTAAGATTTAGATTTTGGGTCATCCAGATTTAGGTGATAAAGAGAAGGTATGATAGCATTCAGCAAAGAATATGGACATTGGGGAATTTGAAAGAACCTGTGAATCTCCAAAAGAATATAAGTACAGTAGAAGGAAAACCAAGATGGAGCAGGGTCTTGGACATCTGGGAAGTCTAAGTATTGTTCTGTAGGATTAAGGTAAGAGAAGGCCTGTACCCAAAATTGCAGCTTACTTACCATTCTCATATTCTACTAAGAATCAGGGTAAGACCAGTAATTTCTGCTTTACTTTGCTTTGTTTTGTTCTCTTCTGTGTTACTAGTGCAATAGGGGCCAGAGAACATAAACTTTGAGAGCTTAAAAGTAGTGTCAAGTACAATGGTAGAAGAGCATTTTATATTGAAGTAATAAGAAATTCCAGTCCCAGAAGGCAACTCAGAAATAGGAAGCATTTTAGAACCCCAAAAGGAATGAGGAGCTGGATTTTCAAAAAGCTGGCTTTATTCACTGCATATTCTCAGTTTCCCTGGCTTACAGGAGCTTTCTGTTGCCAGAGCCTACAGATGAGAACTAGCAGAAGAGCACATTGTTTGACTAAGGCCCAGGTTTTTGAAACTATCTTAATTCTTGCATAATCCTGTTAGGGGAAAAAACTTTCCTAAACAGGAAACTCTTATTTTCATCCAAGTTTCCCCCAAGACTCCAGATCCCGGAACTCTATGATTAACAAGTTGATCAAGAATTGATCAAGAATGTACTGGGTGCCTGGGCAGCTCAGTCAGTTGAGCAACTGACTCTTGGTTTCAGCTCAGGTCATGACCTCAAGTTCCTGAGATGGAGTCCCATGTTGGGCTCTAAGCTCAGTGCAGAGTCTGCTTGAGATTCTCCCTCCCTTTATCCCTCCCCCTAGTCACACGGGCTCTCTCTCTCTTTCTCAAATAAATAAATCTTAAAAAATAATGTACAAAAACTTCTGTACAAGTGTTCCAATCTAATAAAAATCCTAACTGGCTCTTTTTGATAATAGTTTCTAGGATGGCCAGGACAAGGATATAGTTTTGATTATCTGTTTGTTTTAAAGATTTTATTTTTAAGTAATCTCTACCCAGTGTGAGGCTTGAAATTACAACCCCAAGATCAAGAGTTGCACGCTCCACTGACTAAGCCAGCCAGGCACTTCCAATTACCTTGTTTTAACCTTACCTCAACCCTAAGAGATAGGCAGTTTAGGTCTTATCATCACTGTTTTATAACGGAAAAAATCAGAGAGATTAAGCAGTTTGCCTGAGTTTCCAACTGGTAGCACCAGAACTAGCTTTCAATCTTGTGACTTCCCTTCCAGTATCTTTCCATAGACATGATGCTGTGGAAGTCTGGTCAGTGCTTCATTGTGTGCCTTTTCTTTTAACACAGACTCAAACAAAGGACTTTTTATTCCCTTCCCTAACCGGGAAATAAAGGATTCCCTAACAAGTACTTCAGCAACCCAGGACAATGCTATACCAGATCAGAAATTAGACACTTTCCCACTGGGAACACAGGTAATGTATTCACTTTCCTGTTGACCTGTTGACTAGTCAATGATTACTACTAACAATTCATTGGACTTTCAATTATTTATGAGATCTAGGAGGACTTGTTTGATGAACACATTTTAGACCCTTTAAAAGGAAAGAAGAACAGACAGGATGCAGAGGATCTTCTCCATTAATTGTAATCTCCCTTTTCCCTCTCCCCTACTATCCCATTATTGAAAGTAGCATATTTATACATACAACTTTAGCACATTTTATGCCACATGTTTTGGCTCTCAAACAGGAATACAACAGTTAGAGGTTTTGGCTGGTTTTAAAATTTCTTCTCTCTACCAAATGTCTCCATCCCTTGTTACATGACTTCTTACATTTTCTACCTCTGACTTTTTCTTTAAAATATCTATCTATCTATCTATCTATCTATCTATCTATCTATCATTATTTAAGAGAGAAAGAGAGAGAATGAATGGGAGAAGAGAGTGAGGGGAAGCAGACTCCCTGCGGAGCATGGAGCTCCATGCAGGACCCGATATGACCTAAGCCAAAACCAAGAGCCAGATGCTCAACCAACTGAGCCACCCAAGCGCCCCTACCTCTTACTTTTAATTACTGAATCTTAACATCTCAAGGGTGGCTTTCCCAAAGCTGCCTCTCCATTGGAACATAAAAGGAGAAAAGTTAAGGGGTAAAGATGGCATAGAAGTTGTGGGGAGGTAGGGATTGTGTAAAATGAGGCAAAAATTAAGACTAAATTTTTGGTGAAAAAAATTGGTGGGAGGGGGATACAACCATTATATAAGACTCATTTGTATGAGTGAATATGATGTAGGAAACAGAATTGACTGCTTTAACTTCTCCTTTTGTATACATTTTCTTTGATAAATTATGAGCAATGAAATTGCTTAAAATAGCCAAAAGAAGGGAAAAAAGAAGCGAGAGCTTTGATTAATCCACATTTGGATAATCAACATTGTACTAGTAAAAAGTATGGGTTTTTTCAGTTTGAGTTTGTAATACCTTCAACTTATAAAAAGACAGATTAGCATTTAGTTGGTTCCTTTGTTTTTGAAGATTCTCTTTAGGTAACTTAGAAACTAGCTCAATTACCATTTTAAACTATCTTAGTATTTGTTTTAAAGGAAATGTCTAGTAAGGTCACGTCTGGATGTCTAGTAACTCTCTTTTCCTAAACGTTCAAACTTTTTTTTGTTGCAGGAAGTGGCAAGAAGGGAGATCCCAAGTGACAGTCACCAGGAAGATGGTAAATATTTTGTTCAGGGAGTATTTTTCTCCACATTAATTAGAGAAACCTAGATGCGATGAGATTTGGGAGAAGATGTCTCAGCCCTGGGGCTCTACATAGTCAACGAACTCTTTCTGCTTTAGTTGGGGGCTGCCCTGGATGCTTGGTGATCTGTGAGGCCTTTCTGGTTGAAGAATGGATATTCTGACTTCATTTGTTCTTGACTTTTTGTACCGGCTGGCTACTCCTTGTTTCTTTTTCTTACCTTTCTTGCCGTCTTTTGAATTTATTATGTTTTTATTCATCCATTTTTTCTCTCTACTGGTTTATTTATAAGTTATACGCCATTTCAATACTTTTATTATTATTCCCCAAACTACAATATGTGCTCTTAACTTATATAATTAAAAATTAATCAATACTTTAACTCTCCTCTTAGAAAATTTTAAGACCTTAAAGTACTTTACTCCTTTTAGTCTCTCCCAATTTATATATTATTATTATTATTATTATTATTATTATTATTATTGATTTTAATTCTCTATATTTTTAAACCTACATGAAATTGTTTTTGTACAGTGTTCATCTATTTATCTTTATTGGGCAGCCCAGGTGGCTCAGTGGTTTGGCGCCGCCTTCGGCCCAGGGCGTGATCCTGGGGACTGGGGATCGAGTCCCGCGTCGGGCTCCCTGCATGAGCCTGCTTCTCCCTCTGCCTGTATCTCTGCCTCTCTCTCTCTCTCTCTCTGTGTGTGTGTGTGTCTCATGAATAAATAAATAAAATATTTTTAAAAATTATCCTTATTAAACAAAGTATTTACCACTTTGTTCATTTCTTTTTTTATCCTAGATTTCCCTTCCAAGATCATTTTTATCTAGCTTATACTGTGTCTTTTAGAATTTCATTTAGTATGGGTTTGCTCTGTTGAATTCTTTCAGTTTTTGTTTGTGTGAAAATGTCTCTATTCCACCCACCGTTACTCTTTTTTTTTTTAAAGATTGATTGATTGATTGATTTATGATAGTCATAGAGAGAGAGAGGCAGAGACACAGGAGGAGGGAGAAGCAGGCCCCATGCCGGAGCCCGACGTGGGACTCGATCCCGGGACTCCAGGACTGCGCCCTGGGCCAAAGGCAGGTGCTAAACTGCTGAGCCACCCAGGGATCCCCCCACCATTATTTTTAAAGAGTATTTTGGCCAGGTATAAATTTCTAGGTTGGCAGTTATTTCCTTTAGAACACTGAAGGTAGGGCAGCCTGGGTGGCTCAGCGGTTGAGCACTGCCGTCAGTCCAGGGCCTGATCCTGGAGACCCGGGATCGAGTCCCACATCGGGCTCCCTGCATGGAGCCTGCTTCTCCCTCTGCCTGTGTCTGTTCCTCTCTCTCCTTCTCTCTCTCTCATGAATAAATAAATAAAATCTTAAAAAAAAAAAAAGAACACTGAAGGTATTCCACTGTATTCTATTGTTTTTGCTTTTGAGAAGTCAGCTGGATGTCTGTTACTCCTGCAAAGATAATCTTTATTTTTTATTCTGACTGCTTTTAAGATTTTCCAGTTGTCTTTGGTTTTCTTCAGTTTCAGTATGATATGTGGATTTCTTTTTATTTATCCTGCTTGGCATTTATTACACTGAAATCTTTAAATTGTGTCTCATTAATTCTGGGAAGTACTTCAAATATTATTTGTGTCCCATTCTTCCTCTCTGTCCTTCTGGGACTCTTGATTAAATAAAAATATGGTAGAGATTTTTACTTTGTCTTCTTTCTCTTTGTCTCTTATTCTTTTATATTTTTCATATTTCTTTTTTGGGGGTCTGTTCTGCATTCTGGATAATTCCTTCTGACCCATGTTTCAGTTCACTAACATTTTCTTCAGCTGTGTCTAATCTGTTGTTAAGCTTGTCTGCTGAATTCTTAATTTCACTAGTCTTATTTCTCAGTTCTATAAGTTTTATTTTTTTTTAAGTCTTCTGAGTCAATTTTAATAAACAAAAAGTTTCCAGCTTGTTTTATATTTCTTTAAACATAGTAAATGGGGCAACCCTGGTGGCGCAGTGGTTTAGCGCCGCCTGCAGCCCGGGGTGTGATCCTGGAGACCTGGGATCGAGTCCTGCATCAGGCTCCCTGCATGGAGCCTGCTTCTCCTCCCTCTGCCTGTGTCTCTGCCTCTCTCTTTGTGTCTCTATGAATAAATAAATAAAATCTTTTAAAAATAAATAAATAAATAAAATAAACATAGTAAATGTAGATGTTGCATAGGCTGTATCTGTTAATTCCAATATCTGAAATTTATTGTCTAATTTTTTTCTACTCATACTTATTTATGTTGTCTCATTTCCTTTTTTGTTCCTTTGCTTTAGCTACTTGCTATGTATTTGAAAAACTACTTATAGGAATTATTTAAAGTCTTACATAAAATAATTTTTTCCAGATCATATTTTCATTTGTTTCTACCAGGTACCTGGGACACTGTCATTCTGGGATCACTTTAAGCTCAAAGTTTAGGATTCCCCAGATCCATTCAGATGATGCAAACCTGGATTACCAGTCCATACAACGGCTGGCTTATTTCCAGTTTACCTTTACTCTGAAGGTTGCATTCTGCTCGGGGATTCCATCTTAAAGTGTATGTGGAGGGGTGGGGATAGGGATGGTTTTTTATAGTCCTCACTTTGCATAGTTGCTAAACTTGAACTTCTGTCCCTATTACCCCAAAATTCCTAAGAGTAAAAGTGACTTTCACTGCTAGACTTACCTATGTGAGTCCTTGCTGTTTCCTAGATTTTGGCCTAGAAATTCCTTACTAGCTAACAAGTTCTTTGATGCTTTTAAGAACTTGTGTCATCCCACTTTTTTAATGTCTTCAATAGGAGACACAGTCTGAATTACCTAATTTCAGCATCTGTTATTAAATTCTTTTTGTTACATAAAAAAGTTGTTCTGCATCATTTTCTCCATTGTATAGGCTGGCCCTGGGTAAAATGTTGATATTCTATAGGTCTATAGAGATAAAAAGTGCCTGATTCTACTTTTTTTAAGGTAAAGTGACTAAGTCAGGTATAGTATTTTTTGCTTTCTAAGGAAGACCTTTAAGCATGTGAAACTCTGAAAATTCCAAAGAGCACTAAGACTAAAATTTCTACTTACTCCACTCTGACACTCTTTAGAGATGACAAATAGCTGTTGGAAAGAAATGCTTTATAGCTCATTAGGGATTATCATAGATTTTGGATTCCCTGCCATTTAATTGGCTTAGGATATCCGTTTCCAGTGTTTGAACTTAGAGCCTCTAGTAGAGTTTGGGAGAAGGGGTGGGCCTAGCTTTATTGTGAGGAGTCTATGAAATTATTGACCTGCCAACTATTGTCTATGGACTGAAGACATAACATCACAACTACTGTCATATGGAGTACACCAAAATTTCTATATGAAAACAACATCTAGAAAACCCTGCTACTACAGTTTTAGGAGGAAATTCCTAGGGGATTATGTTGACATGAAATTTATCTCCAGAATGTTAGAGATTCTTTGTTTACATAGTGTCCAATATGTTTTACTGTTCCATGTAAAAGTCCTTTTATCATTTTATGCTACTGTTTATCAAAATTATAAACCATCTCTTCCTGAGAACTTTTCCTGGTAGACAGTGGTATGCCCAGTGAACTGAGGTACCCTAACTGAGCCAAGAATTCTCATTGTATTTTGTGTTTTCTTTTTCCCTCGGTGGTGGTTAGAATTCAGACGCTACTCTCCTCGTCAGTCCACAGTCCGATCCCCAGAGAAGATGACTAGAGAAGGGTACCGACTGTCTTTTTTGGACAATAAGTCTTCAGGTTCTTCTCCAGAAAAGGACTTGATACTAAAACCCGATACTTATCAGCTTACCCATGATGTCTCATTGGGTAAACGTCTGGATGTGGGTGATTCTAGCCAGATCCATCCCTATCAGTTACCTTCAGATGTTGGTCTAGAAAATTATGATAGTCATTATTCTCAAAATCTATGCCTGCACGGAAGTCTTGGTAAAAGGCCTCAGAGAAGCAAGAATTACAGAGAATATAGCATAAAGCCTTCAAATGACACGAAGGCCACCACATCCCATTCCTGTGGAGACTTACTGACTTCTCTGTCAAATCCTGACTCCAGCACTGGAAGGCTTTTGAAGCTTAGTTCAGGTAATAGCTTCCTGTCAGTTTATAGGCCTTTTTCTAGTCATGAAGATAGAGGTATAACTGGAAATTTTGGAATTAACATTTCTTAAATTGCATTAGTGATTCTTAAATTTTATTTTGGGGCATCAGTAGCCAATGAAACCTCCACAAATCTTCAGGACATGAGTTTAACATGATAGATATATTGAAGAAAATTTGTGGAAATGTGAGCTTCATAACTATATGCTGTTGTAGCTAACTAGCATGCCAGGACATATTTCTAGTAGCATCTAGTCTTCTCTGATCACAGTCACTTCTATTCTGAGTAATTTTTTCCAAAAAAACTAGTTTCTATGTAAATGATAGAGACTATGCTTCAGTTATTTATTAATTTATTCAACAGAATTTATTGGATACCTACTATCTGCCAGATGCTGCTCTGCAGATAAAGTAACAAACAAAAATAAAGTTCCATTTATCTTTTACACAATAAAAAATTCCCAATTTTCATCCATTCTAAAGGGGTAAGACAGGGGATCTCTGGGTGGCTCAGCAGTTTAGCGCCTGCCTTGGGCCCAGGGCATGAACCTGGGGTCCTGGGATCGAGTCCCATATCGGGCTCCCTGCATGGAGCCTGCTTCTCCCTCTGCCTATGTCTCTGCCTCTCTCAATCTCTCTCTCTCTGTGTGTGTGTGTCTCTCATGAATAAATAAATAAAATCTTTAAAAAAATAAAGGGGTAAGACATGATAAACAAGTTAGCATATAAATATATGTCAAGTTATGATAAGTACTGTGAAGAAAAATAATGTAAGGATATAGAGAATAATGAGGAAGTGGTGTTTTAGAATGATCAGGGAAAGCTTCTCTGATGATATATAGTATTTGGCAGTGCATTAGCAAGTAGCTTTAAGAGATGCATGGTTAATAAAAGACATATTGAGGTAAGTTCAAGAAAGAATTGAGAAGAAGCAATAGAGTTATAGAATATATACAATCTTTCAAGGAGGTTTGCAGTGAAGGGAAGTAGAGAAAGAGAACTTTAGATGGAGAGGTGATGGGATCAAGGAAATTGTGATGGAAATGATCCAGTAGAGGGATCTAGCACCAATGATGTAGGAGAGAAAAGGGACAATCACAAGAAAAAAAAAATCCTTGGGTAGTCAAGAGGTTAGAATCCAGTCCACCAGTGGAGAAGTTGGCCTTAGAAGCACAGATAGTTCATCTTTTATTAAAAAAGGAAGGCAGAGAATTTATAAATACAAATACAGGTGAGTTGGTAGATTTGGTGGCAGGATTGTGTAGATGTTTTCTTTGATTGCATCTGTTTTTCTTAGAAAAATAGAGTGATCAGCACCTGAGAATGAGAAGGAGCAGGTGTTGGAAGTTTGAAGAGAAGAGAGATGTCAAATGGTCATCTCAGAGAACAAAACAGTAAATTGACTAGTGTATTAGTTATAACTGGGCAATACAGGGCCCAATTAAGATAGTGGCCATGAGTTTAAAGTAAAGACAGAAAAGATGCATGTTCTCCAGCCACTTCCTACTGCTCTCATGCAGGCTTGGAGTCCGTAGACAGTTGGATTTAGTCAGTTATGGTTTTGTCAGGTGGAGTGGGGGAAGGGAAAGGATCCAGAGAATTGAGGGTGTATAGTAAGAAGAGGTTTTTATGACTAGGTGGGGTAAGGTCGGTAGTGAGACATGAGAGAGTTGAAAGGCAGGGTCATCTCCCAGCCTGTTTCCTTCACAGATCTGTATGCCACAACCCATTTCAACAGTGACCCTGCTCTGCTGGTCAATGCAGAGCAACAATTATCTACCAGTGTCAGTGATTTGACACCAGCACATGGTTCTTTCCCAAACAACCCTGCCCTGGGAGACTCTCTACGGACACTGCTGTTGCCTACTGGGACCTCAGAACATAGAGAGAGTTTGACCAAGAGATCATTAAGTCCATCGAGGAGAGGATTCAAACGGAAGGACAATATACTTGCTGCCCTGAATCCAAAGATTGGTTTCAGAGATGCTACAGGGAGCGAGGCAAGTACTGGTTTGTTTGTGCTTGTGCAAAAAACACATCAGATCCAAGACCACAATGGGGTTTTGTTGGGGATGGCAGTGATTCTGACCAAGGGTACTACAAATTCAAAGGGATTTTTAGAGGCCAGTGATTAATATGTCCAGGCCAAAGCCTGTGACTCTTCTGCCCTTGGGAAAGACTTTCCCTTTCTGCTGCATTTTCTCATTTCTGTCACATTGAGAACATTCCCTAATCTACTTCCAGAGCGTAAATATTGTGGGGACATATGTTGATAATAAGAAGTGGCAGACAAAGTTTACCACAGCAGGAAATGCAGAAGTTGCCAGGGGCTGTGGATTGGCTGAAGAGTGAACTCTGTAGCGTTGATGTTTATAATCTTAAAATTATTCAGTTTTTTTTTTAATTCAGTCAGTCATGAATGAACATATATATATAAATGAATAAAAAATAATTGTGAATTTTAATGGACAGGTCTACCTATACATCTTTCTATATAAGATTCTTTCTAAATAAAAAGTAACTTTAGTATTGGGTCCAACAAGGCAGCCCGGGTGGCTTAGTGGTTTAGCGCCACCTTCACCCCAGGGCGTGATCCTGCAGACCCCGGATCAAGTCCCACATCGGGCTCCCTGCGTGAAGCCTGTTTCTCCCTCTGCCTGTGTCTCTGCTTCTCTCTCTCTGTGTGTCTCTCATGAATAAATAAAATCTTAAAAAAAAAAAAGAAACTTTGAAAAAAAAAAGTACTGTGTCCAACAATAACATTTAACCTATAACATTTAAAATGTTATGGGGGGGGGAGGGCAAGCCCAGTTGGCTCAACGGTTTAGTGCTGCCTTTGGCCCAGGGTGTGATTCTAGAGACCCAGGATCGAGTCCCGCATTGGGCTCCCCGCATGGAGCCTGCTTCTCCCTCTGCCTGCATCTCTGCCTCTCTCTCTCTCTCTCTCTCTCTCTCTGTGTGTGTGTGTGTGTGTCTCATGAATAAATAAATAAAATCTTTAAAAAATAAAATGTTATGGGGGAGCAGCCTGGGTGGCGGTTTAGGGCCACCTTTAGTCCAGGGCATTATCCTGAGAACCAGGGATCCAGTCCCACATCAGCCTTCCTGCATGGAGCCTGCTTCTCTCTCTGCTTGTGTCTCTGCCATTCTCTCTCCCTCCCTCTCTCCCCCTCTCCCTCTCTCCCTCCCCCCATCTGTCTCTCATGAATAAATAAATAAATTTTTAAAAATAAAATAAAATAAAATGTTATAGGGGCACTTGGGTGGCTCGGTCAGTTAAGCGTCTACCTTTAGGTCAGGTCATGATCCTGGGGTCCTGGGATTGAGTTACATGTCTGGCTCCTGCTCAGTGGGGAGTCTGCTTCTCCCTCTCCCTCTGACCCTGCCCTCTGCCCATGTTCTCTGTCTCTCAAATAAGTAAATAAAATCTTTAAAAAGTTCTATAACACTTATATTTAATATTGTAATTGAATACATATTTATAAGTGTATATATTATACATAATATATAAATATATAAATAAATGTATACAAATATAATATATATTAACATATTAAATATAAGCTTATGAGTTAAAATTTTTGAAATACTCACCAGGGGGGCCTGAGTGGCAAAGTCAGTTAAGCATCTGCTTCTTGATTTTGTCTTAGGTCATGGGATCAAGCCCTACATCAAGTTCCATGCTCAGTGCAGTCTACTTGAGATTCTCTTTTTCTCCCTCTGCCCCTCCCCTCATGCTCTCTCTCTCTCTCTCTCTAAAATAAATAAATCTTTTAAAATAAAATGAAATAAGATAAAATACTCCCCATTTTTGGGAGGCTGGCTGGCTCAGTTGGTAGAGCCCTGTTGATCTTAGGGTCATGAATGAGTTTTGAGTATCATGTTCATTGATGACTTAAATAAACTTTAAAAATTAAAAAAAATACTCCCCATTTTATGATCTATAATATTTTTTTAAGATTTTATTTATTTATTCATGAGAGACACAGAGAGGAAGAGAGGCAGAGACACAGGCCGAGGGAGAAGCAGGCTCCATGCAGGGAGCGTGAGGTGTAGGACTCCATCCCAGGTCTCCAGGATCAGGCCCTGGGCTGAAGGCGGCACTAAACCGCTGAGGCACTCAGGTTGCCCAGTAATATGTTTTTAAAATGTTCTGCAAGTTTAATCTTTTTATACTATATAACTTAATTTAATGTTTTTTTAATCTCTACAAAAAATTAGTATACTATTTGAAATTATCTTTGAATATACTATTACATTTGCTTAGACTTAATATTCAAATCCAAACTGAATGATGAAGCTGCCTTTTTTTTTTTTTTAATGTTAACACTTTAAATGTCCAGAGTCTTACCATATTGTGTTAGAATGACAAATGGTTGGTGTTTCGTTTGTTTGTTTTTTTTTTCTTGAGCCTCTCTCTAGTGACCTGGGCAGTTTGCATGGTTTGCCAGGAAATCACAGTCCCCCGATTTCTGCCAGAACCTCCCATGTGGCCACTGTCCTCAGACAGCTCTTGGAGCTTGTGGATAAGCACTGGAATGGCTCTGGCTCTCTCCTCCTTAACAAGAAGTTTCTCGGTAAGTGAATGCATTCTCCGCTCCTGGAGAAGGGCTCAGACCTTGCTTCCAGTCTGTGTTCCTATAAAAGCCACTCAACCCCTTTAACTTGTAGGGAAAAAATTGTTCCCATGATCACTTAACAAAATCTTTCAGTGGCACAGTAATCGACAAATCTGCATTTTTCTCATAATCTTCTTCCCTGTTTTATCAACATCCTTCCCTCCCATACCAATTGTTTTGTCTCTTTAATGACTTTTTTTGGTTGTCTTTAAGTAATACGTAGAGTGATGAGGTATGTAAAATAGAGCATGGTGGTGGTAATGATTACAGAAGGATTTTATGACCCTTGGGACAGTGCCAATAATAAATACAATAAAAATTGGGTTTGATCATCAGAATTCTAAGATGCCTGTTGAAATGTTATAATTTGAAAAACTTGAATGAATGAATAAATTATTTGGACTCTTCTTAGGGCTTCTTTTTTAGGAATTTGGAGGAAAGAATGTTCTGTACGTGTTGCCCCCACAGTATTATTTGTTTAATGGAAAAAAGTTCAAGGAGATAATGGTGGTGGTAAATGTTTAGGAAAAACTAGAAACTTTAACATTGCTTGGGCTTAATTTTGTTTAATTTGAATTTCTAAAGGGATACATAGGAGAAAAAGTCTTAGCGTAGTTACTTTCCTTCCCACATTGACTCTTGTCTCTCATTTTTTAGGAAATTATTCTCAGGAGCCACTCATCAGTGACTAGAGAATAGCACAGGGCTATTGAGGGACTACTCATGAAGGTCTACTGTCATTTCTCCATAGAGGGGATGGGATAGAATTTCTTATCCATTATGAAATACCTCTTACAGCCACTTAGTAAATTTTTGTAAAAAAGGGGGTATTAGATAACTGTATTTGTCCTACAGAGCTGGTAGTTTTTGACTAGGAATTCTGTGCTTTAGCTTTTAAGATTGGCTCGTGTGCCCTACCTGAATTTTTGGCAGGTCCTGCCCGAGATTTGCTTCTGACTTTGGTAGTTCCTGCTCCTTCCCAGCAGTGGTGTCACTCACATCCTGAAGACATGTCAAAGACGTTCCGGAGAAGAGAGATGGAATTGAAGGAGGCTGGGCATGTGGTACCCAATGACATGGTATGCCTCTCTCATCTTCCTTTCCTAAACTTTCTTTATTAGAAAAGGATAGAGCAGCAAAACTAGAACAGCTTTGTGCCATAAAGATCATCATCACCATGAACCTAGATGTTTGGGAACCAAAATACAAAGAAGTCAGTCAGGGCAAACTAGGAACACAAAACTTGCCAGCATAAGGACAACTTGGAGGTTCTGCAAGGATGACACCCTAATATTTCCCGTATTCCAAAAATTCTAAAGAAAGACTTGGAGAAAGAAAAAATGACCTTAGAATGAAAATACTTAGGTTCATATTTTGGAAGGTTATGGTTTAATTCTAATGAGAGGAGGTCAATGTCTCTGGGATTGGCTTTCCTCCCTTCTGATGGAACAGAGAGCCCTGAACCAGAGGCCATTCCTAGAGCATTAGGGTGCTGAGTTTAGAAAAGGAAGAAGGGACTCCTATCCTTAGGCTTTTCCCCTCTTTTCTTAACCTAAGAGGATTTTCACACACCAACTTGAGCTTCTAGAAACTTCGGATAGGTGACTCAGAGTTGCGTACCACCTGTCAAAAGAAGTACTTGTTCTTCAAGAGTAGTGGATAACTCACAGGAAAGATTGCATCTCCATGTGATGTTTGTTTGCTGCACTTGTGCTATGTTTACCAATGAATTAAAATTCTAATGAGAAAGTTAGATGCTGACCTCCACTCGTTTTATCACTAAACAGAGGAAAGTGTCTTTCACAGACACTAAAAGCACTCCACTCAAATTCTTAATATACCTGTATTTTGTTTTCTCATTTCATCTAAAGGAAAGCTTGAAGCAAAAACTGGTCAGAGTGCTAGAAGAAAACCTCATTTTGTCAGAAAAAATCCAACAGTTGGAGGAAGGTGCTGCCACCTTGGTGGTGAGTGGGCACCAGTCACACACTTATGGTGAGTTCAGGAAAGCAACATGTGGGATGTCCCAAAACAACTGTTTATAGATGACCCATTTAATAAGCTTCATTATCTAGAGGTCACATGGCTTCCTATATGGAAATAATCATCTTGCCTCAGAGAGTTGTAATATAAATGTCTTGAGTTACTGTTTGAAGCTCTTTGTCAGTGTAAAGCAGGTACAGATGTTATTATTGTCATTATTTTTGAGACTGACACTTTCTGTTTATTGCAGAAGATCTTGTTCTGTGGGCACCAGCTGGCTCAGTCAGTAAAGGTGTGCCTCTTGAGCTTGGGGTTGTGAGTTTGAGCCCCACGTTTGGTGTAAAGATTACTTAAAATTTAAAAAAGATCATATTGTTTATAGATAGTTGGGGAAATATAAGGAAAATATAATCCCATTATCCTGTAATACTGCCATTATTATTTTTGGTATATTTTCTTTCACCATATCCCTATACATATATTTTTAACTTAAAATTTGAGAGGGACACCTGGCTGGCTCAGTCTGTGGAGCATGCTGCCCTTGATCTCAGGATTGTGACTCCCAGCCCCATGTTAGGTTTAGAGATTACTTAAAAATAAAATCTTTTAGCAGTGCCTGGACGGCTTAGTCGGTTAAGCATCTGATTCTTTTTTTTTTTTTGGCTCAGGTCATAGTCTTTGGGTTATGGGATCCAGCTTTGCATCAGGCTCTGCCCTCCGTGTAGAGTCTGCTTGTCCCTCTCCCTCTGCTTCTCTCCCCGCTTTTCTCTCTCTCTCTCTCAAATAAATAAAATCTTTTAAAAAATAAAATTTATGGCTTGATGTTTTAAAAATAAATAACAAAATGCATACATTTTAAATTAGATGAGTTTTGACAAATATATACACTCTTCTAATTCCATCTCAGTTAAAATACTGAACATTTCTCAGATCCTTGTGCAGTGAGTTTCCCCTACTTTCTACCCTAGGCAATCAGCAATCTGATTTTAATACCCTAATATTATTAATTTAATGGTAAAGGCATTTCCTATAATATCATATGAATAATTTTTAAAAATTTACAAATATTCAGAAAATTTGAAATGAAATGCTTGAGTGAAGACCCTAAATAGAAATGCTTTTCTGAAATTGTCTCTTCCCTTTGAATGGAGCTGAGAGTCTTAATATTCATTATCATGAATAATGCACCTGCTTATGCACATAAATTTTAGATTATTTTCCTAGGAGACATTCCTAGATGTAGAATTTAGTGGCTCAAAAGATGTGGACATTTTTGAGGTTTTTATTGCATATTGTCAAAATACTCCCAAGCAAGGTTTTTTTATTTTTTATTTTTATTTATTTATTTTTTTTAAATTCATGGAGACACAGAGAGAGAGAGAGTCAGAGGCAGAGACACACAGAGGCAGAGACACCGGCAGACGGAGAAGCAGGCTCCATGCAGGGAGCCCAATGTGGGACTCAATCCCGCGTCTCCAGGATCACACCCTGGGCTGCAGGCGGCGCTAAACCGCTGCGCCACCAGGGCTGCCCAGGTTTTTAACATTTATACTCACATCAGCAGTGAATATATTTGAGGTTTTTTTTTTTTTAAGATTCTTATTTATTTATTTATTCATGAGAGACACAAAGAGAGGCAGACACACACACACAGGGAGAAGCAGGCTCCCCACAGGGAGCCCGATGTGGGACTCAATCTGGGAACTCTGGGATCATGACCTGAGCTGAAGGCAGACGCCCAACCGCTGAGCCACCCAGACGTCCCAGCAGTGAGTAAATTTAAATGCCCTTTTCACTCCATCCTTGTCTACACTGTTTTTTTTTGTATTTTTACTTTTTTTTTCTATTGTGATGTGAAAATAGTATCCCATTGACATTTTGATTTGTACTACTTTATTATTAACATAATTAGGCCAGTATTTTAGATAAAATCTATCCTGAGCTTTAAACATTTAGCTCAGCATCGCTAAGCAAACATCATGAGCATTTGGATTTATATAAGGAATTTGATTTAGAAGTCAGCACTGAATTTCCAGAATTGGAACTCCTCACTATCTGATTCTCACAAGCCTGAATAATCAAGGCATCTCCACTTACCTACTCTGAAAATAGATGTTTGTTCACTACATGTCAACTTTCAATCAGCCATTAGGTACAATAGTGTATTTTGGCTTAGTGCTGATACAGCTGTTGCAGCTCTGTTTTCCATATTCTATAACCTTGCTACTCAAAGAGTGATCCATAGATTAGAAATGATAGCATCACCTGGGAGCTTGTTAGACATGTAGAATATTGGGCTTCCCCTCAAACCTACTGAATCAATCTGTTTTTAACAAAATCCCCAGGTGATTTATAAGCATATTAAAGTTTAAGAAGTACTGTTCTAGAAGACTGACTGACTTAGGACCAGAGTTCCTGTGCTTTTATCTACTTCATTATTGCAGTCATTGGTAATATATTTGGGGAGCTAGACACTATGAGCGTCTTGACTACAAATTCAGTTTCTGCAAGCACTCACTGAGTTATTACTATGTGCCTGACACAATTCTAGATGTTTTCACTGATTCTATAGTGAAGGACAGCCATTCACAAAGTAAAATAGAGAATACAGAGAGACCTAATATAAGTTGATTATGCTAAATGAAGATTATATCCTCATAACCGTGGTGGGGCAAGGTTATTAGCTCTAGTGAAACTCAGAAAAATAAACTAATGTGAAATAGTAAATGGTTGAATTTTCATTCAGATCTCTCTGTTGCTAAGCCCCATATTTGCTGTCTCTAAGGGAAGGACTGGTGAATACAGTGTGGAGGTGGGGGCAGTGGGGTGCCCAATTCTTTAAGATGGCCACCTGACTACTTAAACTGTGCTCAGAGATAGTGACTTGGAACCCTGTTCACACCTGGCTACTGTACCCTTTGTAGACGATCTTCTGCGCAAAAACCAACAGCTGAACATGCAAGTGGCTTGCCTGAATCAGGAGCTTGCCCAGCTGAAAAAGCTGGAAGAGACAGTGGCCCTTCTCCATGAAAGTCAGAGGTAGGAGAGAGTCCATCTAGCTGGATTCTGGAAGCAGATACTTACTTTCTTTTATATGCTTTGTCTTATTTGATAATATCTATATATTTTTCACATTCATTTTGTGTATAAACCTCATGTATCTGGGTGTATCCATGTGTAAACCTTCTGTGTTCCAGGACACAGGAGGGACTAAATGTCTTTGCTGGTGTTGGTGGGTTGCAACACCTCAATAAGTAGTTTCTCACTGGATCCAACAGGACCCTTGTTTGAGTCAGCTAGCTTTACTTGATCACTACATGCCCCTAAAATCATCTCTCTGGCTCTTCTGGAAAATGCCTGCCTCCTAATGATCTCAGAAGACACATTAAGCACTTAGGGGGAATGAAAGAAAGTCCAATGTATTTGTTCTTTTCAGAGGAGTTTAACAGCATCAGCCTCTTCAAAGAACATAATTCATCCCTCAGGATGCCAGCTAGACAAATCAGAAGGGGCCCCAAGACTATTGTATTGGTACATTTACAGAAGCTCTTGACATTTTGATTTGCAAAACACCTTCACTGTGGCTTTCAGTGGTTTAAAGAACTCCATCCCCAAACCTTGATCCCTAAACTTTACTTCCTGAATAGCTAGTGAATTAGGATAGCTCCATTTTCAGAGAATTAGACTCAGATCCATTGTAGACTTTTCGTTATAATTATTTCAAACACAAAAGCAGAGGGAGTGGTATAAAGTCATCCTCCTCAAAAATGGGTTATCAGAATCACCTGAAAAACTTACTGAAATGCAGATTGCTGGGCCCCCACTCCCCAGAATTTCGACTCAGGCCTGATGCGGACAGAGAATTTACCCTTCTAATAAGTTTCCAGGTGATGCTGTTGTTGCTGATTTGGAGACCACATTTGAAGAACATTAGGTATATCTCTTTAAGTGATATACAAATTGCTGTATTTTAAAGTAACTTGAAATAATTCTTTGTGTTGTCAAACCATGTGTTTTTTGTTTTGTTTTGTTTTGTTTCGTTTTGTTTCGTTTTGTTTTGTTTTGGCTAGCCTCTGATAGCTTTTAATATTATATGGTAATACAGAGTCCAAGAATACAGTCCTGACTAGCACCATTAGTTAATTGCAGAGGCAGGATAAATTAGATGAAGTAGAGGTTAAGATTTGGGGATAGAAATTGGAGGCTTGGTCAGATGCCAGTCTTCCAGTACTTCTACTTACCTCATCATGAAAGTGCTTTGGAAAGAATAGAACAATCATATAAAATGTGAACTATGTTACTGCTACAGTCAGTCTGGAACATTATCAAACAGAAATGTAATGAAGAAAGAAACTGTCAGCCTGCTTTTAAAATAACCCACTCATAAATCGGTCAGTTCTTTCTATTTAAAGATGTTACTTCATTTAACATTTGTCTTTAGTAAACATTTCAGGTCTGAATAGCATCTACTTTGCTTTTATGATTTCGTGACTATCTTTTTTTGCCTGTGCCTCAGATCCCTGGTGGTAACTAATGAGTATTTGCTGCAGCAGCTGAATAAAGAGCAAAAAGGTTATTCTGGGAAAGCACTCTTGCCTCCTGAGAAGAGTCATCATTCGGGGAGATCATCACCCTTTGGGAAAAGCACACTGACTTCCTCCTCACCAGTAGCACATGACACGGGTCAGTATCTAATACAGAGTGTCTCAGACTCTGTTCCAGAGCCTAGTTTATGGAGCTAGCACTGAGCACCTTCTCTGCAGCTTCCCTCTTGGCCCCAGGGGTTCTCGGTGTCATTGCCACTAGTATGGTGGTATTCACCTATAAGATTAAGAAAAAAATCTTAAGCTGATTACATTGTATTGGTCCTTTTTATTTCTCTTTTTATCTCCTCCTGTCTAGTCATTCTTTCTTCCTGCTCACAGAAATAATGCATGTAATTCTAGGCATATCACATAGAAACACTTGGCTGAAAATGTTGAAGAGAAAAAAATCAGACATTTTTTGATTTTTGAAACTTGAAACTATGCAGTAGAAGGTTTAAAAAGAACATCAGTGGCCAGGTGTGTTTTGTGTTAGAAAAATTTTAGAGACCTTATACTGATTGGCTCATCAAACATGTTTTGAGTTTCCTTCCACCATAGTAAAAAGGTGACACTGTCTGGTGTCAGTTTAGGAGCAGCCAACAATTGAGTTGAAGAGAAAAGCAAAACTCATGTGATAGAGCTCAAATATTGATATTGGTACCTAACAAGTTTAAATACAAGCCCAAAGATGCTCTGGAGAAAAAGACAGGGAGAAAGAGAGGCAAAGAAAGGAGTTTCCATTCTGGGGAATTGGAGAAGGCACCAATGAGGACTTTTTAGTGGAAGTTTCCAGAATTAAAATGGTAACAGAGGGGGTGTGTGAAGTCTCCCAGGCCAAGAATGCAGAGTAGAAGAGTCTGGAGCCCCTAGAGGGTCATGGGGTCATAATGGTAGAAGAATATACAACCAGAGGACCTATCCTAGCCTGCGAGGTGTGGTGTCAGGAAAAGTCTGCTGAAGAAATTATCTTTCTTTTTTTTTTTTAATTTTAATTTTTATTTATGTTAAGGAATCTGTACCCAATGTGGGGCTCAAGCTCTTGACCCCAAGATCAAGAGTCACATGCCTTTCCAACTGAGAAAGCCAGGCACCCCTAAAGGACTTTTCAACTGAGACCTGAAGAATGAATAGGAGGTCACCAGGCAAAGCATAGGGCCAAGGGCAGAGGCAATGGGAAGGAACATGGTCCATTCAGGGAACTGAGGACCGAGGAGATGATAGGAGCTAGATCACACCATTCCTTGAAGATTTTAGATTGAGAGGGCAAAGGAGTGATATTTGTGTTTGAGAAGCTTTCTCTGTAAGAGGAACGGGTTGAGGACCATGTGGAGTTAGGGGAGAACCAAAGAGGAGGAAGAAATATGAGAAAAGACTAGTGTGATCCAGACCAGAGATGAAACTTCCGAATGTTAGCTTTGAGCTCATTTTACACATGAGTACCCTGTATTTCAGAATTAAGGCATAATTTTTATTTGAATCCTGACTGGTTGAGCATTTAAAAAATCAATGGGAAAGATCATGAAAATGGCTCTAAGTATGTTTCTGCTTTAGAGTAGCCCAGGCAGCTAATGTTGCCGGAGAGCATGTAGGGGGCGAAGGACTGTCAATCTAACTCCATGTTGTGCTTCTCTTCATCTCCAGGGTCTTGTCGGTCTTGTCAGAGAAAGAGACAGGTGGAAAGATTACACACTTATTTGCTCCCCTGACCCAGGTACTCTGCAGGGAAGGAGAGCTATAGCCAAAATAATGAGACAAGAAGATCACAACCAAGATCACACATTTCTAAGTTATAAATAAAATCCACAGACCTCTGAATTTTATGTGGGTTCCCAAAAGAAGCATGTACAGAGGAGCCCTAAGTTTCTTTGAGCTGCATGGCTCTGTAGGAGCTCAAGTGAGCTCTGTGAAAATAGTAGAAACAGCCCCCCTCCTGACTTTTCTAGGCCTGCCTTGGCCCCATTAAGAGGCCTTCAAAGAGTGTAAGCTTTGCACAGGTAGGGTAGCCTTAGCCAGTAGCCTCATAGCCCTAAGTTGTCATATTTCAAGGTCCTAGCACAGTACACAGGCCAACTTAGGGGGCAAACCATTGAGGGAAAAATAATGAACTTCTTTCTCAACCCCAGCCCTCCCTCCCTTGCCCTATGAACATCTAATAATGCTAGACCCAGAACTAGTTTGGGTACCTCTAAGGAAAAGCAGACTTAAGTCACCTTCCATCCTATTTTCTATTGTCACTGAAAGTGGCTGGCCCTGCCCCAGGCCAGGCACCTCTCTAGGGCTGCTCTCCCCTTCTGGGGAAGTCAGCTGTGTTTCTTAATTCCCCTTCGTGGCCCTTGGTCCAGAGGGCAGGGGCAGGGGTTGGTGGTGTCAAAGAAAGGGCCAGAGTTGTTGCCCTGTGGGGCTAAGCAGGCTCAACATAGAATGGGGAAGGCTCTGGTGGCAAGTAGAAAGTAAGTGGAGAGGGATTCCTCAACCCTATGCCTGGCACTGTTGGGACAAAAAGGAAACAGAATTGGGATGGAAACTGGATTCTCAGGAAGTTCTGTGTCCAAAAGAAAGAGCAGGGGTAATCTAACAGGTGTAGTCTTCCTGCCAGTTTAATATATAGAGTTTTTTTTTTGTTTTGGGTTTTTTTTTTTTTAAGATTTTATTTATTCATGAGAGGCAGAGAAAGAGAGGCAGAGACACAGGCAGAGGGAGAAGCAGGCTCCATGCAGGGAGCCCGACGTGGGACTCGATCCTGGGTCCCCAGGATCACACCCCGGGTTGAAGGCGGCGCTAAACCACTGAGCGACCCGGGCTACCCCTATATAGAGAGTTTTAATAGCTCCATCCCACAAAACCTAACCTTTCTTCCTTGCCTACCTGGCTTTGCTAGCAAGGGTACTGATTTGCCAATTTTATCCAGGTCAGAAAAAAAAGTATTTGTGTGTATCTGTTAAGCCTTTTCTATCACCCTGGGGAGTTGCCCTGTCCTGGGCAGGCCTAAGTCCCATCCAGCCTGTTTGTTAGGAAGGAAGGAGAGTTGGCCCCAAAGCCTTGGACTTGGGAATAGCTATGGCCTAACACCTAGAGCCTCAGAGAAGAAAAAAGGTTGATCTGGAAACTTCCAGGAGTCCTCAGGGACCAGAGATTTCCCCTACCTCCTCTCAACCTGGGATGTTGAACATATGAGGGGTATCAGTGAGAAGAAGCCCCTTCACTGTTGGACACCCTGGTCACACCAAAGGCTGGGTGCTATGCTCTATCAGTGGCCATCCAGCCCCATTTTTGGCCTTGGGGGAAGAGGCATGGTTCTTGGCTCTGTTCTGCAGAAGCCCCCTCACTCTGGGCCTCAGTTTTCTCAGCTATAAAATCAGAGAGTTGGACTATCTAGTCTCTGAGTTTCTTCTTGGTCTCGCATTTTTCTGATCTTCTGAACTGGACCCCACAATGACTAACCTTGGTAGCCCCATCAAGGTGGGGACCTGTTAGCAGGCACTGATCTGAGGCCTGGCACTGGGCCCTACCCAACACTTGGCCCAGGCCTAGTCTGCTGTCTCATTCCTTTCCTGGAGAGGCCAACACTGAGCTCTAATAGCAGGATATGACCAGGGTGAAATATTAGATTTCCCTAAGGAGCATCCTCAGGCATTGCTCTGGCTCTGTGCTAATGGAAGGGGCCTGCCTGGTGTGTGTCTCTTTCTGGGCAGGGTTACCAGTGGAAAGATCAGCAGAGTGTGACATGCAAGTAAGCGGTAACACAGAGGTCAGCAGGGTATGAATGTCATTACCCCCATTATGACCAGGCGATATTGATACAAAAGGTGTCTTTATTGAGGTCAGGGTAAGAATTAGGCACTTGGCCAGAGCAGCAGCTTAAATATGAGGCAAGCACGCAGGGGTTAGCCATGCCCAGGGCTAGGTTGGGGCAGTGAGGCTATAGGCACAGACTCTCCTCAGACATCCAGAAGTCAGGGAGGAAAAGAGGAAGGGAAAGGGGACGCAGAGCAGTCTGGGTCAGAGGCCTGGTGGGCTAGCCCTGTGGGGCTGGGCAGGAAGCTCTGGGTGGCAGGTCCAGCAGGGAGGGGACAGGGTTCTCTTGCTCCACATGCCCTTTAGGCCCAGGCCTGAGCCTCTGCTGGGTGTAGCCACACTGGGGGGCCTTCCTGGCCTCACTTCTTCACCTTGGCATCATAGGTGCCTGCATTCTTGTAGGCACTCACATAGCCGCTGTCATCCAGGATGTCCTGACGTCCAGCGATGCCCTTGCCCTTGCCACTCTCATCAAAGCGCTCCTTGTGGGAGCCAGTGTACTTGCTGGTGTCGGTCAGCCGTTCCACAGCACCTCCTGTCTTTGCTTTCTGTTAGGATAAAGTTGTTCCCCCAGAGACACCTGGTTAGGGAGCCCAGCCCTCCACCTCCAGCAGTGATTCTCTGTATCCCCCTCAGTGGCCACCCAAGACCAGCCAGGGTACTTACAGTGACGCCCACATTCGCTGGTTCCTTGCCTGCCACCAGCTGGCAGACAGCATCGAAGGCTTCCTCCTTACTCTTCCCTTTGAATCGCTTCATTGCCAGCTCTTCTAGGGCCTTCTTGAACTCCTCATAGTTGATCACTCGAGCCGATTTTCCCCTGCCAGGTATGTGAACACCATGAGTTTTCCCCCTTCTCCATGTCTTCCCTGGTTCCAGCCCCCCAGTTCCCCACCTTCTGGGAACATCAGAAGCAAGGACTGCTTGGGGCTCACTTGACTTTGGAGAAGACAATGTCGACATCCGTCCCTGTCACGGCCTTTCCGTCAGCCACCTTGCAGTCTTTGCATAGCTTGGCCCAGTTCTTGCCATTCATCTCTTGCCCACTGGCCTTGGGGTCACCATGGATGGCAAATTTGCGGAAGCTTTCCTCCAGCCCAGCCACATCTGTGCTCGTTGCCATACCACCCTGTAGGAGGGACCCACCTCAGTCACTTCCCAGCCAGTCTTCCCTCCCCAAGGCACAGAACATCACTTCCTCTACCTCAAACCCTACCAAAGTCTGAGTTACGGGCACTTAGGCCATAAACCCTGTTGCAGATGGAGCTGCCTGGGGAGAGGGCCAGCACTCATTGTGTCCCTGGATCCCAGAGCCCTGAGAGGAAAGGTGTTATCACTTAATGCCAGCCCTGGCTTACAGTGGAGTTCAGAAGATGAAATCATAATGCCCACACCAAGCTAGGAACAGAGTGGCACTGTCCAGAAAGACTCTGAGGGCAGCAGCTGGGACCATGGCTTTGTCTGGCCCTGGCACAAGGCCTGCTTGGGTGGAAGTGAGGGTGGCAGAGCTGGCCCCCCTCCCTGGGAGTTCTATGCCAGGCTAGGTCAGGCCAGGCCAGGCTGTTGGTTGGGCAGGTATTTGGTGAGGACAGGGTCTCTACTGGGGTGGTGAGGACCTAGCAAGACCCAGCCCAGGCTGAGAAAGCCAAAGCATGAGCAGGGGTGCATGCCTTAAGCAGGGGTACAGCTGGCCCAGCCAGGACCTTGTTACTATTTGCTGTTAAACAAAAACATGAGGGAAGCAGGAGTTTGGGGCTGGCCTGGCCACAGTTTGTGAAGCCTGGAGACAGTTGCTAAGGGAGGGTAGTGCCGCTTGGAGAATGTTGCTAAGGGCAGGAGGGTGTCAGGGTGGCTCAGGGAGAAGCTCCCAGTGCTGCTGGGCTGGGCTAGGAACTGGGCTCACGGGTGCGGCACACCAGCACTCCCAGTGCCTGGGGCACAGCCGTGGCCTCCTGGCCCCTTGCCATCCACTGGAGCTGTAACCTCCCAGTCTGTAGAGTTTCAGGGGAGCCGGTGTGATTTGGGGACTAGCATGGGTAGGGGTTGTGGAGTTATGAGCCCCTGGAGGCATGCTGGCAACTGGAACTACAGCATTGGTCCTGTAAGCCTCACACCTACACCCTACTTTGAGGCACACACTTCCCCAGCATCTACACCTTCAGTCTCCCATGGAAGCCTCTGGCTACACCCTGAGGACTCACACCAGTCCACACTCCCACAGCTGAATGCGCTCAGCACTGGCTCTCCACATTCTCCACCTTATTCCCCTGACCACCCCCTTAACCAGCCCTGGGACTGAGGGCCTGGACCATTACCTCAGCACCCCCACATACACATATACTAACAGCCCTGTACAGAAACCCACCAATAATACCCTCAGCCCTGCACTGAAGTGTGTCTCCTACACACCCCCTCCCCAGTCCCTCTGCAGTCCTCTGACCAAAGCTATAGCCCTGCACTGAGGCCTCCTTGACCACACCTTCAGCTTTCCACCGCAGCTGCCTCTATCCACACACCCCAGCCCTGGGATTAGGAGCCCCCCTTCCCCATGCCCATTGCCCTGAGCCCCTGTTATAACCAGAGCTTCACAACTCCCCTCCCCTCCCTACACCTGTAGCCTCTGATCACATCCTCACACCCACCCTTGTTCACATTCCCACAGCCTTGTGGCCTTATGCTCAACCCTGCCCTGAAGCCCCTCAGGTGTTCACGTCCAGGGACCTGCACTTCCAGAACCCGCACGTTGAGACTCCCTGAGCACACCCTGCATCTCCACAGTAGCAGCCTGACCACACCCTCCATCATGTCCTCAGCAAACCTCTACCTCTGCCTTTTATCCTAAGGCCTCCAGTGACCACAGCCCCTACCGAACTACACCCCTTATATTTACCACCGGCCTTAACACTAAAAACCCTTTCCCAGTGGCCATCCGTCCCTAAGTTGCAATTTCTGGGCCTGGGTTCCCCTACAGACCCTACATGTAGCAGCTCGGTGGCCCCATAATCCCAGTCGGCACGGCATTCCCCTTCTCTCTCTCTACCCTGCGACCTCCCACCAGGGATATGGAGACTCAGCCCACGGGTAAAGTCTGGGGGAGCTTGCGGGTTACGGATGCTTGTCCCAGGTGACTGGTGGGATCCGGGATCCGGTGCTCACTCCTGTCTGCGGGAAGGATTCTTGGTACTGATCAGGTGGAGGCGGGTCGCAGGCTGTAGTCCCAGGAGTCTGCAGGCCAAGGATGGGGAGCAGCCACGCCCAAGGACTGGGGCCACCCGCTGGCTCCCACTGGGACAGCTGGAGTCATCAATCAGGGCAAGGAGGTGGGGGAGGAACGCCTGGGGCCCAGGGCAGGGCCGCTCAGCTGGCTCGGTACCATTTGGGGTTGGAACCCCTTCCAGGGCGCTCCCACCCCACCCCCTTGCTTATTGTGCAGGATACAGATTAGGGTGATCGGCGCCCGGGTCTCTTACCTGCTTCTACTTGGTGGCTGTTCCTGCAGTGCGTGTTCGATGGACAGAAGGACGCAAGAACGGACCTAGGAACGCGGGAGACCGGGCGGCTCCACAGCTCTGCTCCCTGCCGGCTCCGGGGCGGGACTGCAGCCCGGGCGGTTCCACCGTATTATCCCCTGTTTCTCGGTCTCCATAGAGACGGGGAGTCCCACCCCCGGGGCTGTCTCGGTGGGAGAATGACCAAGGTCACGCCGGCCCCACCCACTAGGCCCCGCCCCCTCCGCACTCCGTGGGGGCGGAGCTCCTGCTATAGCCTTTTCCCGCAGCTCTCAGGGCAGCTCTGCGGCCTCCACGCTGGGGGAGACCGGCCCTCTGCAGCTCTGGATGTCCTCAGATGACCCCCTAATGGGAAGACAGCCTCAACCGGGGCTTCGCCCAAAGTTCAAAACAGGCCCCCACCTCCACAGGGGAGGTGAAGCTTCCCAGAGCAGCAACCTAAGGCTGTTTGGGACCTGGAGCGGGCTGCGGGGAGGGGCGGCAGGGCGGGAGCGGAATGAGAAGGTCCCTTCCCCAGACCACAGCTCTCCAATTAACCTGTGGCATCCCCGGCCACAACTCGGAGCGCTGGCAACAAGAGGGAACAATGAGCGAATCACGAGCCCAGCCCCCAAATCCTGGGGCACCAACTGCCATCCCAGCTGCAGGAAAAAAAGCTCCAGGACCCCTGGCATCCGCGTCCCGTTCCGCTCCGTGTTGGCCTCGCGGTCTGTGCTCCCGCTGCTGCCTCCAGATCCCAAAGCCTGCTTTCTCTCAGGTATAAAGCCTATCTTCAAGAAAAACCACCACCTCCAGGCAGCACTCCAAAGCCTTTTCACAACCAAGCCTTCAGCCCACGTGGACCTATCCATATGGTAATCTGGGTGGCGACTCAAAGTACGAGCACCGCCCCCCAACTGACAACGGTCCATTAAGAAAGTATGCACTTAATCCACAAAAGCATAAAAAAAGACTTTATTGGAGCATCATGGCCGGTGGGGCGGGTATTGCTGAGCTGCGGAGGAAGGGGACCCATCCCGCCGGACCGTAGGGGCCCCTAAAGTGCACTCGGTGCAGCGACGGTGGGGGTGTTGCATAGAGAACGGGGCTGGCCGCTCCTCCCTGGCCCTCCTGCCTCTCCACCCCGCTAAGCCAGGCCCGCCTCCAGGCCTCCCCGCACCCGGGGCTCCCCGCTGCTCGGGCTCACGAACACGGCAGGCGCACGCAGCTGCAGGGCCAGCCCCGGCTCCCGGCCCCTACCCACCGGGGCGGCCAGAGCGGCGCTGCCCAGGCGCGTCTGCGCCACTGGAATCTCGTCCATGGACTCGGCTGACGCCGAGTGGTAGGCGCCTGCAGGCCCAGCGGCGTGCACTGGGCTGGAGCCCGCGGAATCCGACAGCGAGCTGGAGCGGGGGCCCGGAGCCCCGGGCCCTGCGGGGAGGAGGAAAATGTGAAACTGGGGGCTGTGACACTCTCAGGGCCCTACCTGTCTTTCCCTCAGAGCTTAGGATCCGGTTTGAAAGGGACGCTCACCCGGCAGCCTGGGCAACGGCGATTCTGGTTCCAAGGTCCCAGAGGTTGGCACCTTATACACTCGCCGCTTCCTCTTTTTCTGCAGAGAGAGGGGGGAGCCTGAGTACCCCTTCCCTAGACTCCACATCGCCCAAAGAAGCAGAGGACTGAGGCAGGGTAGGGACTTCTTTCCCATCCCCTTCTTCCTGGGCAAGGAGCCCAGCACAGTCCCCCTTACCTGGGGTCGGATCCGGGGGGGCAGAGCACCCCTCTCTGGGGAGGAGGGAGGTGGGGGTTCCCCTTGGCCTCGGGTAGCAAAGAACTGGGAAAGGCTGAGGGGGGAGTGAAAGGGTAATCACTGGATGCCCATTGTTTCCTCAAATCCCACCCCACTAGAGGTCCTGAATACGCCGCCTCCCTTCCTAGCACGTAGAAAGGGGCACTGATTTGTTCAAGGGCAGACCAAGCTGGACCCAGACCTGTACTTTAGCCTACCCCCTTCTCCCACCTGGGATGTCCCTGCCATGCCAATGAGAGATGTTCAGGTGGCACATGCCCAGGTTGCACTCACTTGGCATTCACTGTGGCAGGCCTGGCCTGGCCAGGGGGTTCTGGGCGCACATGGCTGAAGGTCCGCATGTAGAACTCCATCTCCTGGGGAAGGTGGGGGTCAGGGAGGCTGGGGGGCCAGGTGTGGATCCAAGGCCTTCTAGGGCCTGAGCCCACCCCATCCTGTATACAACACCCCATCCTTTGCACAACACCTACTTCTCACTGGCGTCTGTGGGAAGTCGGGCTACAAAGGTCTATGGTTGTCCTCTAAGCTTCCCAGCTGTGCTGGGAAGACCCCTCTGTAGGCCAAGGCTTAAAATACCCATTTCTGGACCTTACCCCATCCCCACCATCTTCCTTACTTCATCTAGTCAAACTCTTCCTCCAGGAAGCCCCCAGCCTCATAGGTCCAAGGCCCCCAGCCTGCTCTGGCCAAGGTGGGGGGTGGGGAAGAGGCTCTCAGAGCAATCCTTTCCTGCTCCTCTCCGCTCCCAAGGCCCCAGGCTCTGAACTGATTTTTTTCTCTGGCTGGGAGACCGGCCAAGCCTTTCATATGCTGGGGTGTGCACCTGAGGCTGCGTGCATGACTGGACGGGAGCTGAGCCCTTAGGGTACCAGCCACAATCTCGGCTACCAGGGAAGGGAGTGATGAGGGCTGGTGGGATGATGGGAGGTCTCCCCACCTCAAAAGAGGAGGTAGTAAGAAGCCGGGGGGGGGGGGGGGGGGGGGGGGGGACGACGAGCGACGACGACGACGCACAGCCCCATCTGGGGTCAGGTTTATGGGCAAGTTCTGTCTCTCCTCTAGTCACTGATCCCCACAGCGACACTGGGAGTGGCACACCCAACCCCTGAAAGTGAAGGAACCTGAGTCTAGGAGGTCACAGAAGTGGCCTGGGCTGCCATCCAGCACACAGGACGCCCATGAGGACTGCAGATGAGACAAAAGCTAGTAAAAAGCCAACCCGGGTATGGAGGGTACAGGGCAGAGCCAGGACAATGATACCCCGCCCCCACTGGGTGGGGGAGGGCACAGGACAGCTGTCGCCTGCTCAGCAGTCGTTTCCATGGAGACCCAGGCGTCCTGACTAATGCAGGGATGACACTGTAACAGCAAGCCGTCTCTAAAACAAGCCTATGTTTGGGGGCAACGGCTCCAGAATGGGGCCCCTCCCGCATTCCTGCTCAGGGTGGGGGTGGGGAGGCTGCCTTCAGGGCCCTGGCAAATCTGGGGGACAGAGCCCAGCCAGCCCCAGGCTGGCTGCACAGATGCAGAAATTGAAGCTCAGGGTAAGCCTCATGCCCAACCAAAGCCCAGGCTAGCCCTTTGGGAAGTGGTGTGAGGGTGTCGGCCTCAGCAGAGGAAATTTGGAAAAGAAGTGGTCAGAGGCCAGTCATGAGAGCTGGGACCTCAAGGTAATCTGCCCCCTACATCTTTCCTCTTCCCCAGTGTGGACTCAGCACCCCTCCAGGGCCCAGCAGGAGGAGGCGAAGCCTACCCTGGTACCCGAAGGAGGGTGGGTGGAGGGGGAGAGGAGCAGCAGTAGAGGAAGCCCGAGGGACCACGATGAGACAGCGGCCAGGCCCCCGCCAGCTGGAGAAGTTTGAAGGTATCCCAGGGGGTTCCCCGCTCAAACCCCCTTCCTCTCATCACAGCTGTCCCTAGGATCCACTCAGAGAGACCTTCAAAATGTGCACATTCCTGAACAGTAAAGGGCACCTCTGGGCCGCAGCACTCTCCTCGTGCACCGAGGCAAGCACATCCCTCCTCCCCCTGGGGAGGCCTCCCTCAGGTCACATATAGGTGACATGAAATGGCCTAGCTGCTTCCGCTGCCACAGCTGACTCGGAGCTGCCACAGCTGACTCGGAAGCGCAGGCAGGCAGTGCCTACAGGACAGGGGCCTAGAGCCCTCTAGCCTAAGCATCGAAGGGCCAGCCCTGCCTCACGGACCATGAAGCCCGGGAAAGTTTCCTGCCCACGCCTCCGTGAAGCAAGGATGGAGATGCCCACTCCCAGGATGGCTGCCACACCACTTACATGGGTTCAGGGCCAGGCTCCAATTTGTGTACATGGTAGCATGGTGGGGGTGGGCTGCCATCACAAGTCACCACTCCCCCAGGCCTCCCAGACCTGGCAGCCAGGCCCACCCCTAGCGGGGAGAACAGGAGAAGCGGGGTCCCAAGCCTTCTCTCAACCCGCCCACCAGCCTGTGTTTGTGTCCAGTTGCCATGAGGACGTGGGATCCAGATCTCAGCCTTCCCAGCAAGGCCTGCCTGGGCCCCCTGCCTTCCCAGTCCCTGGGGGCTCCAAGAACTGGACCACCCCCACCCCCAGCTGCTGACCTCAGGCAGCCACGGGGCGTGGGAATGGGGATAGGCTGGTCAGGCCTGGAGGGTTCCTGCTTCAGAGTGTAAAGACCTTAACTCTTCCGAGATCCAGTTTGTTTAACCCTTCTTGACCTCAATAGGCTCATCTGCAACATGGGCACAGTTACATTACCTGCCTCATAGGCTCTTCTAAGGATTATGATATACAGGATATGATAATAGGTATAAGGGTTCAGGGTCACGAATGGAGACAACAGATGGCTACATCCTCATGACCCATTTGCTGATCCATCCTTCTCTTCTGCAGCCCCAACCTGCCCACTCTCAGGCTCCCACATTCCATGCCCTCCAGCACATGCTTGGAGCCTGGAAAGGCATGTACATGGGGTCAGGGAAACACAGGGCTCCCTCTGGCTGTGCCCACACTTGAGCAAGCCAATTTGTGCTTAGTATAGACTTGGCCTTGTTCCTATAGCCTTGGGCATCCTCTACTCCAGCTGCAGTTCCCAGCCTGCTTCCCTTTGCCCTGTCTCATCACTGATGCCTGCTACACAGCCCACCACCACTCCCACATCCAGGCCCCATCTCCCACCCCCTTAGCCCTCTGGGCCACTTCTATACCTGAATGGGCCGCATCTTGGGAGGACATGACTCGAGCTCCCTGTGGGCCCCCTTTGCCTCCTGTGGCAGGCGATGCTGCACGATGTACTCATAGGTGGTGAGCTTGTGCCACACTGAGGGGGTGAGGAGAGGGCTCAATGCAGTGGAAAGGGGATCCTAGAGTTCAGAAAGTAAGGGAGGGTGCCCAGCCCCAGGCTGAAACCACTGTCCCCAAATACACTAATCTGTGAAGCGAGACCAGGCCACCATCAAAGACGGTACTGAGAAGGAGCACGGCTTCAGAGTTCTACAGCACAACTGGCACCTCCCTGAGGCCTAGGGACCCTGTCCCCTGCAAGGCAGGTGTAGGTGTATGTGAGTGTGGCGGGGGGGGGGGGGGGGAGACTTACTGAGATAAATGTGGAAGCAGAACAAGTGGCCCAGCAGGGCTGTGGAAAGCAGGCCCAGAAGGATAAGCAGGGCAGCCAGGGCCAGGATGGCAGGAGCCTGGGTCTCCACGGGGGCAGCGGGCAGGAACACGAACCACACATCTGTGTGATTCTTCAGGACTGCAAGGCAAAGCAGACTCCTCATCTGGGACTGTGATCAGAACAGGCCCAGGGTCGGCGGGCAGGCGTGGGCCTGGAGCTGGAACTAACCTTCAAAGTGATGATTGGTGCGCAGCCGCATGGGGTTGACAAAGAACTCCACAAAGACATAAGTGGCCACCAGCACGAGAAGCAGGACACCCAGCAAGGCAGATGCCACACTGTGTAGAAAGAGCCTGGGCCCAGCCGGCACCCAGGTGCTCCAGCTGGGTAAGGGCCCAGAACTCAGAGGGGCCCAAGGGAGGGATGGGGACCCAGGTCTCTGACCCCACAGCCCCAGCTCCTCATGCTTGGCTTGAGCCTCACCCAATGGCGTAAGGCAAAGATTAATTTGAGTGGCTGCCCCAGCAGGAGGGAGGCCCCAAACCTACCCGGGCAGCAGCCATCAGGAGCATCACGCTCAGACCAGCACACACGAATGCACGGCAACAGGTCCCCCAAGCGCCCGAACCCCAGCCCTGCCCCCTATGCGGGCTCAGGGTCCCTGGCTCACACTCAGACCCATGCAAACGCAGGCAAAGGTGCGGCCCGTGTCCCGCTCTCACCGGTAGTTCCTCTCGCCCACGCAGTTGTTGAGCCACTTGCAGTGGTGGTCAAACCCGCACACGCACTTGTTGCAGGCGCTGCAGTGCTTGGAGCGCGCGCTCCTGCGGGAAGGGGTGGAAGGGCCGCACGCGGTTGGCTGCTCTCGCCGCACTTCGCCGCGGGCCGCAGAGGGGCCAGGGCCCCGACCCGCCTCCAGCCGGTACCGGCCGGCCCTTCAGGCCCGCGGGCCGTGTGGCGACGGGAGCGCGAACGCCCTCTGGCGGCACCGCGAAGCAGAGCACCCACAGGAGGCCTCGCGTCTGAAGGGCCGCGACCCAGAGGCGGGAGGGGCGGGGCGGCTTACACTTCCCCACCTTGGGATCGCACTCCCGCCTCCCGGCGGTAGGAAATGCAAACAGGGCTTCCTTTCCAGGCAAGGACCCTGCGCGAGCCAGGAGACGACGCAGGTGTGGTACCAGGGAGCAGAAGAGAACGAGGCTGCTGGGTCCAGGGCCTGCATTGCTTTTTCTGACCTCTCCATTTTTTTGAGTCCCTGTTTCCTTGCCAGTCTGTAGGAATTTTACTGGCATTCTTCCAGAAAACCTCAGTCTGTCTGGGCTAGCCCAAAGGGAGCCAAAGGAAGAGGAGCAAGGTGACATCTGGGTAAGCAGTTCACTGCATGGAGCCAGATGATGGAGGCCCCGTTAGGAATGCAAGCCCAAAGAGGTGTGGAAGAGTGAGCTGCACGCCCTCCCCAGGACAGAACGGAGCGGCAGCCACTGCCACACATCCACTAAAGAGCAACGCGCTGACGGGTGCCCAGTGAAGCAAAGGATCATCTGACACCAAACTCCTTGGTGCCTTAACGCCATTGGCTCTTTCTCCATCCTGTGGACACCCCCACTTCAACAGGCTGCTAGATCTCAAGATTAGAAATGTGGAACTAGCCTTGGACCATACCCCCATCCCTGATGCCCTGCCTGCGGCTGGAAGTTCCAGGAGGGAAGGAAGGGTCCCTGGGAGACAATCCAGAACAACCCAGGAGGTATGGGCTCTGCACAGTCTGACTGCCCTTCCCACTAGCAGGGTAATCTGGAGGAAGTCACTTGGCCTCTGCGGGCCTCAGATTCCTCATGGGAACTGAGGATAACAGTATGGGCTCGGGGGCCAGACAGGCTGGGCTGTGAATCCGGCCCTGCTCCCCGACAGCCATGTGAGCTCGGGCAGGCCTCTGAGCTTTCTGCAGCGTCAGGCTCTTCCTCTTCTGGGAGGTGACAAAGATGCTGCCCACCCTGCAGGCTTGTTCATAAGGCTTGTTCACTTAGCACATAATAAATACTCAAGCATTAATTCCCCTCCCTGCCCCTACCTGGGAATGCCTGTGAGAGACGGGGGTGGGGCGTGGGGGTGACGGGGTTACTGGCAGTCATTACAAAAGCCCGTGGTGGTGCCAAATGTTTCCTACTTTATTTTTTTTTTTAAAGGCTTTACTTATTTATTCATGAGAGACACAGGGAGAGAGGCAGAGACACAGGCAGAGGGAGAAGCAGGCTCCATGCAGGGAGCCCGACGTGGGACTCGATCCCGGGACCCCAGGATCACACCCTGGGCAGAAGGCAGGTGCTAAACCGCTGAACCACCCAGGGATCCTGTTTCCTACTTTAATGGTTAGAAATGCCAGTCCTCATCTTCTGTCTCCAATCTCCTCCTCCTTCTCCTTCACCCAATTCTCTGTTACTCCCATCAAGATTCTTGACTGTGTAAAGCATGAGGGTTCTGAGGCATCAGGACAACTCTAAAGCCCAGGGCCTGCCCCTCTCTGCCTTGAGTGCCCACTGGCAGTTTCCTGGGGTACTCCCCACCCCCACACACCCTCAGCCCACACTCACACATCTACGTCGCACAAGTTGCAGTGCAGGTCTTCAATGACATGTGCATGTTGGCTGCGGTTGAAGATGGGCAGGGGCCCTGCATAGCTCTTGTCCCGCACGTTGGCATCTGCTGGATCGATGGAGACAGCAGTCAGGTGAACCACGAGGTGGCCGGCAAAGATGGCGCCCATGCACTGGCCCAGCAGGTTAAAGACTCACTCTGCACTCTGCTGGCTAGAAGCCCCCCTCCCCACCCCTCTGGAGCCAGACAACAGCTGGCTCCCTCCATGGGACTCCCCCATGCAGAGACTCTCTGCCTGTGCCACCTCCTGTCTCCAGCCCCACGAGAGCTTCCTGGTCAGACCTCCTCAGCATACCCATGCCCCAGATGGAGGGAGGAGCCATCTGGGAGCGGGCTCACAGGCCACTGCCTACCACCGCTCGGGGCCCAACCGCAGGGTTCTGGGCCTCGCTGCTCCAGACCAGCCGGCACAGGTGCTCGCTGTTGACCTCAGAATCTGATGTAGTTTCAGATTCTAAATGGTGAAGTGAGACTGAAGGAGATTATCCTCTAAGGCTGAGGGACCCAAAGTAGAAGTTCCAAGTTTGTTTCTCTTGCCTTCACAGGAAGTCAGCTCTGAGAGGGAAGCAGCCATGCTTTCTCAGCAGCTGGGCCAGATGGAGAATGGAGAACCACTGTGGACAGGGGCTCATACACTCACTACCTCCTTGACTGGAGTCCAGCTACTTGGAGCCCTAGGGCTAAGGGTTCTCAGGTGACTGGAATATTCAGGGCCTGGCCAGGGGCAGCATGGCTAACTCTTGGAGCTGAAATAGATTTTCTAGGGCCTATCTGCTCAATGAGTAGACCAAGTGCTGGGGACGAGTATGTGGACAACTTGCTGCCAAGTCTAAATTTGTAAAAATTCACCAATAGATTCTACACAGGCAGCCATCCACCTGCCCGCCATCCATGCTTCCTTCCTTCCTTTCCTTCCTTCCTTCCTTCTGCTAACCAGGCAGACATCATCCCTCCATCAGTCATGCTCCATCCATCAGCTACCCAACCTCCTTTTTCCTTCTTTTTCCTCCTCCCAGCAGCCACATTTTCACATGTCTGCATGAGTAAGGCTGTGCCCTAATGTGCGTACCACAGAGGAACTCGAGGCCTACAGTCCATCGCAACCTCTGTCCTTACGGCCCTGGCTACAGGTCAGGCCTTCACTTCTTTCCTGGGTTATTCCGTAGTCTCCTCACTGTTCCTTGTGTCCGTGTGCTCTTGAGCCTACCATTCACTTGGTCCCAAAGTGAGCTTTGAATAGCTTAAACCTAAAGAGTTGCCTGCTTCAATTTTCTAAAGTGGCTCTCAGTGGCTCTCAAACTAAAGTTTACTATTCAGTTCAGTGCCAAGGCCCCTTTTGTTCCAATCCTGTCAAACCTGCCTGGTATCTCCAACCACTATTCCTCACCATTCCAGCCTCTCTCCAGACGCACACTGAATATGGGCAAACACTTAGCTTCCTGCCTGCTCCAACGCTTCTTCCTGCCCCCCCACCCCCTGGTTCATTCATTCAACTGTTCACTGAGATCTTTTCTACATAAGGCCCTGAAGGGATGGCAGGAGAAAGACAGACTTGGTTACCAGCCCTAAGGAATCTCCAGTCCAGTGGGAGATATGCATATTAATCAAATAATGGGTTGATTACAGTGAAGGAAGTTCATGGGATTAACTGAGTTTGCTTTTGAGATTTCATTTATTTATTTGAGAGGGAGAATAGGCTAGGGGAGGGGCAGAGGGAGAGGGAGAAGCAGACTCCTGCTGAGTGGGAAGCCCTATGTGTGGCTCCATCCCAGGACCCCAGGATCATGATCTGAGCCGAAGGCAGATGCTTAACCAACTGAGCCACCCAGGCGCCCTGGAACTAAGTGAGTTAGTAACTGGGTAACCTCATCTAGTCTGATGGTATCCAGAAAGCTGCCGTGAGAAGTATCATCTCAGCTAAGACTTGGAGAGGAACAGATAATAGGCACCTGGTAGGTACCACAGACAAGAGGTGCTTGGCTGGGTACTGGGAGCAAATAGCATCACAGCCAGAGGGGTGGCTGATGTGTGGTTCCAGCTCAGCTTATTGCCGCCATGAAGGAACGGGGGCACATGTCACCAAATTCTGGCTTTTCAAAAGGAGCCAGAAATCTGGATTTTTATGTGGGATCTCATTTTTTAAATGTTGACAAGAAATTCAAAAAAATTTAAAACACATGCCAGAAAAAAATAAAAATAAATAAATAAATAAAACACATGCCAGGGGCACCTGGGTGGCTCAGTTGGTTAAGCATCTGCCTTCAGCTTAGGTCATGATCTCAGGGTCCTGGGATCAAACTCTGCGATCAGCAGGGAGTCTGACAGTCCCTCTCCCCCTCCCACAACTCTCTCTCTCAAATAAATAAATAAAGACTTTTAAAAAGTAAAAAACAGGGACACCTGGGTGGCTCAGCGGTTGAGTGCCTGCCTTCGGCCCAGGGTGTGATCAGGGATCCGGGATCGAGTCCCACATCGGGCTCCCTGTGTAGAGCCTGCTTCTCCCTCCTCCTGTGTCTCTGCCTCTCTCTCTATCATGAATGAATGAAAAAATAATAAAATAAAATAAAAAAATAAATAAAATAAAATAAAATAATAGTAGGGCAGCCTGGTGGCTCAGTGGTTTAGCACTGCCTTCAGCCCAGGGCATGATCCTGGGGTCCCAGGATCGAGTCCCGTGTCGGGCTCCCTGTGTAGAGCCTGTTTCTCCTTCTGCCTGTCTCTGCCTCTCTCTCTCTGTATTCTCATGAATAAATATTTTTTTAAAGTAAAAAATAAAACACACTTTCCAAAGGAACACTTATGTTTGTCCATTTTGTGTGTTAATCGTTCTCCAATTGAAAAAGAAAATCTCACCTAAAGAAAAGGAAAGAAAAAGAAAATCTGAGGGGTGCCTGGCTGGCTCAGCTGGTGAGGCATGCAACTCTTGATCTTGGGGTCATGAATTCAAGCCACACACAGGCAACAGAGCCTACCTTAAAGAAAAAAGAAAAGAAAATCTGTAGGCCCAACAAGCCTGTGGGCCACCAGTTCTGGACTCCTGGTGTCACAACAAAACATCAGAAGGAAGAACATAAGAGGCAGGGAAGATGGGCAGAACCCAGAACATGGAGAGCCCTGAGGATCCTGAATGTCGTTCCTTGAGGCGGGAAAAAGCCATTATGGGACATTAAGCTGGGGAGCAACTTGATCAGATTCAGACTGTGCAAGGGCCTTCGGGCTGCAGGGACACAGATAGACAGATGGACACAGATGGACTGGCCCAAGTGAGAGTGTGTGTGGGAAGACCTGTCTGGAAACGAAAGTCATCTCGGTCAAAGGGGCAGATGACAGCAGGGAGAAATGGGGGCAAGTCTGACGGCTATTTAGGAGGTAACATGGACAGTACCTGCCGACTGATGGGATACAGGTGATGAAGGGGCAGAGCCAAGGGCACCAGAGAGGCAGCCACAGAGGATGGGCACACAGCAGGTGTGCATCTGGGCCTGTGGTGATGTTGGTCCAGACGGCCTTGCTCCTACACCCATACTCTGTTATAAGGCTCCCACCCTCACACCTACCATGTGACGACCTCCAATCTACAAGGCTTTCCTCCAGCTGGAGGCTAAGCACCCAGGACCAGGGCCCAGTCTTACTCCCCTTAGCAACACTTTGGCCCAGGCTGGTTCCAGGCCCAAGGTGGGTATGTGGTATACACCATTAGCCTACCTCGTGCCTCAAGAGCCCTGAGGAAGCCTGCAGAAGGAAAGTGGCTTTGACGGAAGAAAGGAGAAGCATCCAGGCCTAGAAATGGGAGTGCCAATCTGTGTGGCTCTGTGAGCCTCCACACTGCCCAAAGCAATGAACGTGGAGAAGACAAAAGCCCTAAACTGTCCCACTATCTCAGAGTCATCTTGCCTGAGCAGCCCTTCTGGCCTCAGTGGGTATCAGCTTTGTGACCCCAGGAACTCACTTAATCTAAGCCCCAATTTCCTCATTAGTAAAGTGGGGTGAGCACCTTCCTTACAGATTATTATGAGGCTCGAATGCCATAGTCCACGTACAGGGGATGGTACAGTACCCAGTACATATATGTGCTCAATAAATGCTAGTTACTCTGGTTTACCTATTATTTGTACTAAGCGCACTCATTCCAGCCATGTGGTTATTAATCTGGCTTCCTAGGTACGCTGGTGGCAGAAACGCAGGTAATCCTGAGTGAAGGGTGTGCCCATTCCAGATCATGGGAGGAATGTTTCATGAAGCATTCTATTTAAGAGCACTGACTAAGGCCTGTTAGTCACCTCAGAGACAGTCCAGTTTTCCATTGACAGAGCTGATGACTAGCCCTGGGCCCTAGTGAACCAGGAAGCCCCCCAGTGCCATCGCTGGTATCTGAGAACAACCTTCTCCACGCACCTGTCCTTGTCATTCATCAGCCGAGGGCTCTGCGGTTTCTGAGACAGCATGCTCACACTTCTAGCTCCCACGTTCTGGGGCTCACACACACACCCTTGCATGCTACTTGTCCTCTGGGAAGCAGGCAGGGCTCTTCCTGTCAGACAGAGGAGGCCGAGAACCAGAGAGCTAGCGGAAGCTGCTCAGTCCCGTACGGCCCCGAGAGGGCTGAGCTGTGACCAAGCTCTGCTGCTGATGCTATGCCCAAAGCTTTCAAGTTCATCCCTGAAACCTCCTTTAGCTCACTCCTCCCCCCAAGAAGCCCAAGAAATCATTTTCATGAAGCCCACCTACCGGAGGGCACACTCTCCTGGGCACCCTGTGGACAGGGGCACATGGCCACCTGCTGCACCCCAATCTCTCAGCCTTGTCTGCCCCTGGAGGTCGAGGCCAAGGCTGAGGCAGTCACACCACTAGGCTAAAGCAAGTTTGTGTTTGTCACTGTTCCCAGGAGCCTCCAGGGCATCTTTGTCCCTCCTCTTGTCAACTCAACCTTAACCTAAGGGTCTGATTTACAAAACCAATGAGTTCCTAAACAGTCCTGGTTACAACATAATTATCTGACTGTATATAAAACCACACTTTAAATATACCGGGAAACTTACTATGTAAAAGAATCCTACCGTGACTCTTTTAGAAAAGTGAAAATTTCTTTTGTAAATGCAATAATTACTCTGATTTATCCCTTGTTGAGCTCTGGACATAATTAGTTTTAAGGCTCCCTTCTGGGATCACTCTTACAGTACCTCAGTTGATGAGGTTCCTGGCTGGGTGGGCTTTAAATGCTTCAAGGTACGTTAGGCCCATCAGGCAGGGGGGTCAGATAGGGGTTGGAAGCCAGGCAGGCAGGCAGCTGGTCCTCCCGGGCAGAGAAAGGGCCTACCCGCACTCTCTGAGGCTCCGGAGCACGGCTTCAGGCTCCTGCCACGTCCCCGTCCACTGCCCCAATCCTTCCATGTACTAGTCCCACACTTTCCCAAGGATACAGCATAGCCAGCAGGCACCCAGTGATGAGGCAGGAGGGGAACAAGGACCCCAAAGCCAATCACGGCAAAGAAGAGGTACAGCAGCCAAGCCACAATCTGGAGTGGGTGAGGGGGCCAGCTCCACCCATTCCGGCGGGACCGCTGGCCCTGCAGCTCCGGGGAAGGTCTGCTGGCCTGCACAGGCGCCGTCCACACACTCTTCTCAGGTGCTGTCTTGTTGGAGGGCTTGTTGCAGATGTTCATCTCCAGAGGAAGAAAAAGTACAGAGCATTAGCCTGAGGAAGCCCAGGCTGGAGCCCAAAACCTCATGCCTACAGCCAGGTTTCAGCAGGGGGGCACAGGCTGGGATGTGAAGCCATCTCCTGGCTACTCTGCAGGGGAACCAGCTCCCTAGCATGATGAAGATAGTCCATAGGGGAGGGTGCTAGTGGAGCGCTTCTCCCTAAGCCCCAGGGCAAGCTCTAGCCCTAGTCCTTGCTTGCCAGGACAAGGTAGGGGGGTCCAGGGTTTATTCAGGACACTGTGTGGCTGCATGTTACTCAAAGTGTTCTGTCCCCACAGCCATCAAAGTTAAACCCAATAAGACAAGTTCTCATCTGGTAACAATATCAGGCTGGGCCCAGAGCAAGGAGAACACATGCTGATTCTGTTAGTCACCTCTTTCCTGAGGCCCAAATGCAAGTGTCAGAGAGGGCCCCATACTCTTTGCTAGGGGAAACGGGGAGGAGGGGCACTCAGAGGGGGTCTGGCCTCTGCCCCTGGGCCAGGACAATCTCTTTAGGACAGGGGCCAGTGGGGAACCCTAAACCATCTCCCCCATGCCTCAGAAGGGCTGCCTGACACTTCTTGGCTGGGGAGGAACCAGCATGCAACAGAGAAGGGAGGATCCCTCCTCGCTTTCCTCCAGCAGCAGAAACGACCATGTTTCTCTAGGTAAATTTGGGCCTGGGGCTCTGAGAACAGGAAGGTAGGCTGATGCCCTCTGACTCACTTGAGAGCTCAGGGAAGGCCAGGCCTCCTCCAGAGCCAGACCACCAGGTGGCAGTACTCCTCCAGTCCCCACCCCACAATCCTTCACTCTAAGATCTGGTCTGGTGGCCAAAATTACAAGCAAGGCAGGGTGTGCTGTCATTACAGGAGGAAGAGCGCCACGCCCAGTATCTTCTGGGCCTCAGGTGGGACTAGAGCCTGGGCAGGCAGTGCCACAACTGGGGAGACAGGCCAACTCAGAACTCTTGGTGGGAAGGCCAGGAGCAGGGGACAAAACCCTGGCACCTGGACTCTCCTTTCAGGAGCCCATGGGCCAGGGTGTCCTACTATGCCAGAAAGTACAGCAGACCCCCCTCAGCACATCTGCCAAGAACATCTTCCTCACTTCTCGGCCCAACATGTAACTTTTTTTTTTTAAAGATTTATTTTTATTTATTTATGATAGACATAGAGAGAGAGAGAGAGAGAGAGAGGCAGAGACACAGGCAGAGGGAGAAGCAGGCTCCACGCCGGGAGCCCGACGTGGGATTCGATCCCGGGACTCCAGGATCGTGCCCTGGGCCAAAGGCAGGCGCGAAACCACTGAGCCACCCAGGGATCCCCCCAACATGTAACTTGACCTTCAGAGCCCACACTAAGTATCCAAGAAGCTTTACCTGATGCCCCAAGCAGAGTCAGGGGGCCCTGATGCTTAGTCTTTACTGGGCAGGTCACTGTGCTACTTGGAACACTGTGTCATCCTCATGCCTCCCCCGTTATGCAAGTTTCTCCTAAGGGGAGCAACTATACTGTGATTCATTCACCCCTGTACCCCACATCTCCTCCCCCAAGCACCCTCAACATACCTTGTACCTAGTAGGTGCTCAGTAATGTTTGCAGACTTGAAAACATCTGAAATAAACGGAAATGTGGGCACAGTAAATGGTGTGGAATCCTGGTCCACCCAAAGCCAACTGGCCCACTCCGCCCATTGTGCCTTCAATCTGCACAGCCACCACGCAGACACACCTCCTGTCCCAGCACCCCGGCCACTGGCTATTACCCTGACTGCCGGACATTCGCACTTAGCCACTGCGCTTCATCCCACCTGAGGCTCAGAGCCTCCTAGAAGTCAAGTCTAGCATATTTACCTCCAAGTACCCTCATCTCAAACCTAAATGGAGTGACCTTAGTTTTCTCTCAAGGGCTCAACTGGAATCCCTTGGTCATTTGCTTTGTCTTCAATAAGAAACAGCGAAAGAAAGAGCCCCAGCTTTGGAAGAAACAGATTTAGGTTCAAGTCCTGACTCTGCACTTACTAGCTGAGTAGCTTAAGTTTCTTCATCTGAAAAGTGGGGCTGGGGTGGCTACCCAGGGCTGTGCATAGATCAGTGACCCTGTAAGTAAGGCCCTGACACAGAAATGCTCCCTAATGATAGATACTGCAATTACCCTTAAAATAGCCCTCTGGCTTGTCCTCATCACTCCAAAAGGACGCTGGTGCATCTGATACTCTATGAGGTCAATTTTCAAAGTGATGGGGTTGGTTGAAGCTGCTTTTTTAAACCAGTGGTCCCAAGGATCATGTTGCCACAAGCGATGGACCACTGGATGGTTATTCTAACCTCTCACCTTTGGTCAAAGGGACAAAGGTGAATTTAAAAAAAAAAAATCCCACTTCATTTTCAATGTCCCCAGCACTAGTAAATCTGTCTTTGATTTTTGGAAACAGTCAAAGGTTGTCAGGTGAAGGCCTGTGAACAGCTGAGCTGCATGATTCTGCTCCGGGCCAAATCTTCCTGGCTGGTGCATCAATTCTCCAGTGACACCATCACCAGGGTAACTACTTTAAAGAGAACTCATGAATTGGGATCCCTAAGTTCTAGCTTTCCTTTTGCCATCTTCACACCTGTGCAGCCCTATACCTTGAGGAAGTTTCTAAAGAAACACACATGGCTGACATGTCCCTGCTGCCCAGGGTGGGTTGGCAGTGGCCATAGGCACCCCAGAGCTGCTGCCTCCCTGATTACCTAAAGCAGGAGGAATCACCATCCAAGGCCTTGGGGGCAGATCTGACTCCAAACCAGGGGACCCTTGGCCCAGGGAGGTGCCGCTCATATGAGACTATGGGCAATGGGATGGTGTTATTGGGCCTAAATCGCTTGCGGCAGTGGCAGCACTCCAGACACTCAACCTGGCATGCCACCTGCCCCAAAAACCTGGGCCAGCCAGCTCTTAACTGATGACATTTTCCCTTGTGGGGTTGTTGGCTACAAATTCTTTTGGCCCAAAAAAACTTTGATTAAAAGGACCAGAGGTAGGAGAGAATCCAAGATGGGGCCTCAAGCCGGGATGGGACTAAGCACTGTCACCAGATCCAGGAGCTTCTCTGGCTGTCCTTCCCCTCTCAGCACTTCTCTAGGAGAAAGATGCATGGCTCTGCTCCCGGACAACTTGGCCAGCCTGTGCACTCACACATTGGCCCAGCCAGTGCTTTGGGGGCCCAGGCCCGAGGGTGCTAAATATGTAAACACAGACAAGATCAGGCTCCTGCTTTCTGGGGGTCGAGACAGACACAAGAGCAGTGAGTGAATGGGTCCTGCAAGGGCAGCCATTCAGTGTGACAGAACACAGGGTGCATGGGGGGGGGGGGGGGCAGGGGGGGTTCCAGAGAGGGAGTTGAGCCCTGACAACTGCAGGGTCAGATCCCATGGGGCCTAGAGGCCAGGCAAGGAAGCCTGTGTACTTCTGAAGAGCCACCAGGAGTCACAGGAAGTTTAAAGCAGGGGAAAGACATAAAGGTCGTGGGTGTTTTAGAAAGCTTTCTAGTGGGGAAGGGGGCAGGAGCAAGAGGGGAAAGGTGACACCACAACAGGGTGGGCGGGGGAGAGGGCAGCCACCCAGCGGCCTTGTGCTTTGGGAGGAACTGGTCAGAAGAGGGAGGTCAAGCCCACAAGGCCCCCAGACCACTCCCATGCCTCAAGCTGCATCTCTGCTGAGCTGAGAGGTGTATGAGCCATGGTAAAAGATTCTTCGTGTACCTTCTGCTGTCACAGAACAAACCACAGAGTTAAACCGGTGGAGATGGAGAAAAGACAAGGTCGAGGAGGCCCCATGGAGTGTTACAGCTGAAGGTCACCACCACCTTTGTAAGCCAAGGACCCACGTAGCTCCTCAGGTGGGCGGGAGGGGCGGTACAGGCCCCTTCCTTGTCCCAGTAAGGTGATGGTCACTGCCAGACGATTGTCATCGTCTCTTCCTGTTAACACTCACTTGCTAAAGCCTAAAATAGCATTTCCGGAAGTTGGGCCACCTTAATTTATATGCCCAATTTAAATGAGGAAACTCTTAACATTTCATATTCTCATTATGAACTGTAGAGTAGTTATATGACTGATCTACTTCCCTCTTGCTCACCTCTGCTCTCACCAAAATATATATATATATATATATTTTTAGGAATGTTGTTCTGAGATATATATATATTTCTGAGATATAAATATATATATATATATATATTTAGGAATGTTGTTCTGAGATTCATGAATGGCATTGTCAAACTGAGGTGAAAAGTAGGAGCCCTGGAGAGGCTGTGGCCATCCCTGCATTCCTGCAAAGTGAGGATTTCAGAAAATAATCAACTTAATTACTGGGACGCCTGGGTTGCTCAGTGGTTGAACATCTGCCTTCGGCTCAGGGCATAATCCTGGGATCCAGGATCGAGTCCCACATCAGGTTCCTGGCAGGAAGCCTGCTTCTCCCTCTGTCTATGTCTCTGCCTCTCCACCTGCAGCCCGCTCCATGAATAAATAAAATCTAAAAAAAAAAAAAAAAAAAATTACTAAAGAGGGTTTGCAGGCGGAGGCCACTGAACTGGGATGGGGGGAGGCGGTTGAGTGATAGGGTCAGAAGAGAAGAGACCCCCTGTTGAGGGGTATTGAGGGCCTGGGGACCTCCTCCAGAGAGAGGCGGGTTGGAGCTAGGCCTGGAGACAGAGCCTGGTTCTGGTTCCTGCCTTGCCACTCACAGATTGGGAAACCCGGAGGCAAATTTCAGAGCCACCTCTTTGAGTGCCTCCTTTACTCAGCTTTCAAAAAAGTTAACTGGCCAGCTCAGTCAATAGAGTATGTAACTCTCGATCTAGGGTTTGAGTTCAAGCCCCATGTTGGGCATAGAGCTCACTTAAAAAAAAAAAAAAAAGTTAGCTGGAAGGCAGTTTGGCAATGTCCACCAAACTTCAGAACGCATATACCCTTGGGCCCAGTCATTCCATTTCTAGGTATATATCTTATACATATGGTCACAAAGTATACCAAGATTCACTGCAGTCTTGTTTGTAATAATAAAGGACCAAAAAATGTAAACCAACTATGGCACATCCACACAATGAAATGCTATACATCAAAACAATGAGGGATGAAATGACCTTTGATATACAGTGAAGTGGAAAAGCAAGATGTGGGATGGTTGTAGAGGGTGCTGGGGGGGGGGGGAACAAAGGGGGATGGAGAGACATTTCAGTTTCTATTTGCACAGATTATCTCTGGAAAGAAATGCAAGAAGGCAAACACAAGGGTGTCCTCTGGGAAGGAGAATTAGTGGCTGGAGTAAGAGAGATTCGCTTTGACTGTGTACCGCTTGAATTTTTTTTTTTTTTTTTTTTTTACTATATGCATGTAATGCTTTGGGGAAAAAAATGTCAAATAAATAATTGTCACTTCACACCCTCCTGGCCCCACTGGGTTGCCAAGTGGACCAAACGTGCTTATGGGCTCCAGAGCCCGTAACCACGCCCGACAAACAAGGAAATCCCACCTAACAACCATGCAAAAAGAGCGCTTAGTTTATTAGTTTAGTTCAATGCTTTCTCACTCTCAAAAGCAATTCTGAATCATTCATCTGCAGAGCTGTAAGGAAGAACCACAGAGGTCCCTAGGAGCTGTTAGGGGTCTTGTCAAAGCTGGAACTGGACCCAGGTGGCAAAACAGAGGAGTTGGTGGGCAGGAACTTGCTCCAGTCCTCAGCCAAAGTCCAGCTCAGCTTCCTGTGATGTCAGAACTCAGAGGGAAGGTACACACCATAGGATGGTTTGCTCAAAGAACTTTTCTTTTTGCTAAGAAAGACTAGAGGGTTTACGGTTGCCACATAAATGATTTTCTGTGGATTTTTTTTCCTGTGGATATTTCTAAACAACTTTTCAGGTTTTTTTCCCTGGATCTGCTTTTTTTTTTTTTTTTTTTTTTTTTTTTTATTTACGATAGTCATACAGAGAGAGAGAGAGAGAGGGGCAGAGACACAGGCAGAGGGAGAAGCAGGCTCCATGCACCGGGAGCCCGATGTGGGATTCGATCCCTGGTCTCCAGGATCGCGCCTTGGGCCAAAGGCAGGCACCAAACTGCTGCGCCACCCAGGGATCCCTGGATCTGCTTTTAAAATAATTTTCACTAAGATTTAACAGATGCCCAATTTAAACCTAAAGGGGAGCTGGATAAAAATGCTGCATGGTGCACACTGCTTTACGATGCAAAAAGTCATTTATAAAAAGTTTTGGGACAAATACTTTATTAACATTCCCCAAGGGTGCCAGAGAATTCTGGCCTTAGAATTCTGGGAAGTGGCTCTTGTCTTACTAAGAGATGCACATCAAAACAATGCCCAGAAAATAAACTGAAACTTCAAGCTGTTCTCACAGTCCTCTCCAACCATTGGTCTCAGATGCGGTTGGGTTCCTCACATGAACAACATGCAGAAGTCTGATGCTAGAGCAAGAAAAGCCTGGAACCTCAATCACTCCTGAGTTGACAGGGTCCCAAAACATTTCCTGTGCTATTCTTCTCCTGAAGCAGCCAGTGCAAACTGTTCAGGATTCAAATATAGCCAGGGAAAGGGGACAAGAAGGAGGAAGCAAAGTGGATGGACAACAGGGCCAATGAGTGGAGCCAAGGGTTGTTGATTTTAACCAGGAAATCAATTCACATGATTGCAGGAGCAAGCCCTGAGGAACACCCACCAAGAAACAGTCGTTAAGAACAACGTTGTGACAAAACAAAGAAAAACAAAAGGAAACCAAAAACTGGCTAAACACCAATGCTGCTTTCACTGCAGCTCATGGTGATTATCTGTTTATGAACCCATCTCCCACAATGAACCACCAGTTCCACAAAAGCAGAGACCACCCCTCATCTATCTCTAATTCTCCTTCAATAAGAGAAATTAAGCCACTTCTTACCATCTCTGCCACCATCCCCCTATTCCAAGCCTGCATCATTGCTCCTCCCGGGGCGATTCCGGGCTAATGGCCATCACTAGCATTCAGAGGGGACTTCTTCTGTGCCAGGCACTGCTTTGACTGCTCTAACACATAAACCCTCAACTACCCTCTGAGGTAGGTCCTAGCACTTCAAAGTGCTCTGGTAGACCTCCTGTCAGTGGCCTCCATGCACCGGTCTCTCACTTTCTCTCCCACGAACGACATGCAGGACAACAACATCCCCCTTTCACGGATGAAGACACTGAGGTTCAGAGAGGCTAATTTCTTCTAGGAGACACAGCTAGGCGGGCAGAACGAGGACCGGCCCCCGCCTGACTTGCTGGCCTCTTATCATAAAGACGCCGTCCACAGAGGCCGGAGGAAGGTGAGCTTTTCAAGACCTCAACCTCATCAAAACTTTTCAACGGTTTCCTCCTCCTGCTGGGATAAAGTTGAAACCTCCATTATGCCCTTGGATGCTCCCCTCCCCCTTTCTGTTCCTTAACAGTACTTCGCTGCCTCCAGACTTTGCCGCATTTACTTTTCCCTCTTCCAGAGACACCCTTCCCCTACTTACAGCGCTGGCTCCTTTCCAACCTTCAGGTCGTAGCTTCAAAGTCACGTTCTACAGCAGACCCTGCCTGACCGCCCCCCCCGCCCCCTCCATTACATCACCCGAGCGCTTATCTGCACCTAAAATCACTTTGGTCTTCTCGCTGGCGCCCGCCCCCCCTCCCCCTCTTAATAACCCGTGAGCTCTGGAGCTCGCGCCGTTTCTCGGAGGCCTCCGCGGCCGCGCGCCCGACACACAGTGGGCGCTCGGCGCAGCTCCGTGAACCTGACGAAGGCGAGAAGCCCCGCGCTCGGCCCGGTCCCTGGAGGCCAGGCCGCGGGCCCCGGGCCGAGGTGAGCGCAGAGCACGGCAGGGCGGCGCGGCCACGAGCCCGTGGCTCGGGCCAGGCTTCCAGGGGAGCACCGCGGCGGGGCTCCTCACCTGCGCGTCACCGGCCCTGCCAAGGTCACTCACCTGGCCGTGCCCCTCCACGGCGGCAGCGCTCAGACCCTCGCAGCGGAGACGGCGCCCGGGGCCAGGCGGCGGCGCAGCGCGGAGCGGGGCCCCATGCCGGGCCGCGCGGCGCAGGCCGGGCCGCCGAGTCCCCGGGGTCGCGCGGGAGCGGGCCGCCGGTACCGCCCGCCAGGCCGAGGCGCGCCGAACTCTCCGGGCGCTGGGCCCGTTGCCCCGGCAACGGCGCGGGCTACGGCGCCCCACAGCGGCCAAACCGCGCCGCGTCCCTTCGCGCCAGCGCCGAGGCGGGGGCGGGGCTCGCCGGCGCCCCCCGAGGCCCCGGCCCGCAGGTCTCCCGTTCGCTTCCAACTTTTGTCCTGGGAAACCCGCTTTCCCCCGCCCTTTCGAATTGCGAACTTGTCCCAAACGCGCCCCCCTTCAGTTTCTCCCCCGAGACCACCACCGTCGGGGAGCCCCCCCAGGCAGCCTGCACGGGCCGTTCCGTGGGGGATGCTCTCGAGACGCCTGCCCCTCAGGGAGTTGCCAGGCTAAGAGAAAGACACAGACAAATACCCAAATGCGTATGCAGGTTCCCCACAATATAAAGTGTGAAGTAGAAGAGCAAAAGATATAGCACAGAATGTCTTCTTTTTACATTTCCTTTAAATCAAGTATAAATCCTACTGGGAGGGATCCCTGGGTGGCGCAGCGGTTTGGCGCCTGCCTTTGGCCCAGGGCGTGATCCTGGAGACCCGGGATCGAGTCCCACGTCGGGCTCCCGGTGCATGGAGCCTGCTTCTCCCTCTGCCTGTGTCTCTGTCTCTCTCTGTGTGACTATCATGAATAAATAAATAAAATCTTAAAAAAAAAAATAAATCCTACTGGGAGCCCCCATCCTCCAGCCTGGTAGGAAATTCACTCTTGATCTCCACTGGGCTCCTCCTAACCAGGTTATTCCAAGGACTCAGGATGTCTAAGAAACACCCTCTAGTCACAGTGCCTCTCTGACACTGAGGCCACAGTCATTGTCCCAACAGGACTTTCAGATTTGGGCTCTGAGGGGATTGCCAGGGACAGAGGGGCCTGGGTGGCTCAGTTGGTTAAGCGGCCAACTCTTGATTTGAGCTCAGGTCATGATCTCAGGGCCCTGGGATCCAAGCCCACGTTGGGATCTGTGCTAAGCACAGAGTCTGGGGATCCCTGGGTGGCGCAGCGGTTTGGCGCCTGCCTTTGGCCCAGGGCGCGATCCTAGAGACCCGGGATCGAAACCCACGTGGGGCTCCCGGTGCATGGAGCCTGCTTCTCTCTCTCTGCCTCTCTGTGTGTGTGTGTGTGTGACTGTCATAAATAAATAAATAAATAAATAAATAAATAAATAAATAAATAAATAAAATTTAAAAAAAAAAAGCACAGAGTCTGCTTGAGATTCTCTCTCTAAAAAAATAAATCAATCTTTTTTTTTAATATTTTTTTTTAAATTTTTATTTATTTATGATAGGCACACAGTGAGAGAGAGAGAGAGAGAGAGAGGCAGAGACACAGGCAGAGGGAGAAGCAGGCTCCATGCACCGGGAGCCCGACGTGGGATTCGATCCCGGGTCTCCAGGATCGCGCCCTGGGCCAAAGGCAGGCGCCAAACCACTGCGCCACCCAGGGATCCCAATAAATCAATCTTTTAAAAAAGTAGATTGCCAGTGACAGGTGCCTGCTTCTTGGGTCCCGGGGCCCAGAGACTCTCTTCCCTTTCCTTGCCTTAGGGATATCTCCCTGCTGGGCCTGGCTTCCCTGAAAGCCAAGAGTCACTGGAAATGGACTCTCCCATGAGCTCAGGCCTTCTCAAAAAAACAGGAAGAAACTTTGTCTATCCATATCTCCAAGGCCCTAAGACGGTGAGCAGCTGGCTGGTTCCCTGCTCAGAATGGGCTGGACAGAAAGCATCTTTATGCCTAAAATGTTTGAGTCACAGGCATGCAATAAAAGCAACATAACAACTTCTGCTCTGTCAAAAGCCAGTTGTGAGTCCTTGTGCAAGTGATTTAATCTCTCTACCATATAAATTCTTATTTCCAAGACCGATAAACTCAAATTCTGTGGGGTAAATATCACTGCTACTCCGGCCTCAGAAATACAAGATGACTTCTCTTGTTAGGGTGTCAAGATGACTCTTATCTGGAATTAGAGAACTTTAGGGCCCAACAGAGATGGTGACCCAGAAATCAATGTAGAGGATGATCCCATATTTGCCCACAGGGAGGGGAGGGAATCTGAGAGTCACGGCCATCTTGGCCCTGGGTCTACCTGCCTCCCTGGCACCTCTCCTGGCTGTCTCTTGGGTATCTAGATGCAGCACATCCCTAAAGGCCTGTCTTTGTCACAAACCTGTTCCTCCCCTCAGACCCTGGTACCCCAAAAGGTGTCAGTATCTACCCAGTTTCCTCCTGGTCCTTGCCCATCTAACCTGATAGTGCCCAAGACCAGGCAATCCTCCCTCTGAAACATGTACAGTGTTCCCTCTTCCCACTCTACTCCAGTCTAGACCACCAGCATCTTCCTTGCTGATTCTGCCCCAGCCTCGTCTAACATACGCCTGCCTACTCCTAGCCCATTCTTCTCCCAGATTCCAGGTTTACCATTCTTTCTCTTTATTAATTTTTTTGTAATGATTTTATTTTTAATCTCTACACCCAATAGGGGGCTTGAATTTACAACCCCGAGATGAAGAGTCGTACACTCTACTGACTCTTTCTCTTTATTTATTAAAGTGGGTTGTAGTCTGAGTCATGGCTTCCCAAAGATGTCCACATCCTAATCTCTGAAACCTAGGATTATGTCATTTTAAGAGGCAAAAGGGACTGTGATTAAATTAAGGATCTTGAAATGGAGATTATCTTGGATTATCCAGGTGGGCTCACTGTAGTCACAGGGCCCTTCTAAGAGGGAGGCCTCAGGGTCAGATTGGGAGCCTGTGATGTGATGATGAAGGCAGAGGTCAAAGAGATATGACGACACTGCGCGCTATTTAGGCTTTGAAGGTAGAGGAAGAAGCCGGAGCCGAGGAATGCAGGTGGCCTCCAGAAGCTGGGAAAGGCAAGGAAACAGATTCTTCCCGAGAGTCACTAGAAGGAACCAGCCTGCTGACCCTTGACTTTAGCCCAGTGAGACCCATTTCAAACTTCTGACCTCCAGAATGCTAAGGTAAAAAAAAAATATATATATATATGTTATTTTTAAATGTGTGTTGTGGCAATAGGTTATTGCAGCAATAAAAAACTAATATAGTGGGTTTCAAATACAGTTAAACACACACATGTATATAAATGAATTAGAGCTGGTCTCATTTGAAACAAAAATCCATGTGACAGCTCAGATTCCCTCAATGTCTGAGTGATTCCAAGCCAGGCTGTCTGAGAAAAGGACTCCCTCTGGTGAAATTTGCTTTTCATTTATTTTATTTATTTACTTACTTACTTACTTATTTTTATTAAGGTCTATGCCCAATGCAGGGCTCAAACTCATGGCCCCGAGATTGAGATTCCATGGTTTACCAACTGAGCCAGACATGTGCCCCTGGCTAACTGCTTTTTAAAAGCACAGGCCCTTAGGGACGCCTGGGTGGCTTAATGGTTGAGCGTCTGCCTTTGGCTCAGGTTGTGATCCTGGGGTCCTGGGATTGAGTCCCACATTGGGGGTCCCTGCAGGGAGCCTGCTCCTCCCTCTGCCTATGTCTCTGCCTCTCTCTCTCTCTGTGTGTGTGACTATCATAAATAAATAAAAAATTTAAAAAAAGAAAAAAGAAAAAAAAGCACAGGCCATTTGATCATCTTCTTCCTGAGTCTGCCTACATAGTATGGTCCCCAGTCTAGAACTTGACACCACTCAGGGAGTCACCTACTCAAGAAGGCAACATGTTGCATGCTTCCAGGCCAGACAGATGGCAGCGAAATCTTCTCAGTATTCAAATACCATCTTCTCAGTCTTCTGTGCAAGATACTTCCAGGGCTCCCTTTGGCATCAGGGATGGATTGAAACACTAAAACATAGCTACCAAAGGCCTGCTCAACGAGTTCCTATCCACCTCAGCATCCTGTCCTTTGTGGGGATTATGCAGCTCCTGGAACCGGCAGCATTTGCCGCCACCCCTGAACCTCTTCCCACAGGATTCCCTTTACTTGGAGTATTGCTTTAGCTCCTCCTGCCCCCTTTGGCCAATTTGTATGGAAACCTGAGGCACATTTTTCTGAGATGGAAGTCAGCCCCTGAGGTAGGACTTGCTCCTGCCCACAGCGGCTGCCCCTCACCCGCATAGTAGGTCCGCCTGGGGTGAAAGAGCCCAGGCCAGGGGGAGAAAAGACCCAATTGTGGTTTTCAGGGCTTACACACATGTGTGTAAGGGTTCCAAGATGGCTTTCATGACTCCCAGAACCAGAAAGAAGAGACCTCTGGGGCAGGCAAAAGCAGCTTGCCACGCCTGCGCCAAACCAGCTCGTCCTTAAATAGAGCCATTGTATGCCTAGGCTCCTGGAGACTTGTCACTTGTCCCTGGGCAACTCAGTAGTTACCAATTTTTTTTTTTTAAGATTTTATTTATTCATGAGAGAGAGAGAGAGAGAGGCAGAGACACAGGCAGAGGGAGAAGCAGGCTCCATGCAGGGAGCCGACGTGGGACTCGATCCTAGGACTCTGGGATCACCCCCTGAGCCGAAGGCAGACACTCAACCGCTGAGCCACCCAGGTGTCCCAAGTAATTAGCAGTTTCAATCCCAGCTCTGCCATCACCAGTTGGGCAAAGTCTTCAACTTCTGTGAATCTCAGCTGGCTCTTTTGTGACATGAGGGTAACAACAGCTCCTGCATGAGGGTATTGAGGACTGAAACTGTGCTCATGCTTCTAACGTACAGTGTTCAGCTGGTAGTAGACATTGATACGTATCATCTAGACCTTGCTTGTCTTTCCAGCAGGAAGATGATGCTCTCCATTTTATCAACTAATGAAATTAAATGTTAATTGTCAAATTAGCCCCCGGGGGTGGGGATGTGTTCAGCCACAGCTCTTACTCTCTGGGTCCACTTTCTCTGGGTCACAGTACCCTTTCCAATGAACCCTGGATGAATCGTCCCATCCACTTTTCTTATCCCCATGGCCACCAGCATTTCTTGCCCTGGTAAGCCCAGTAGTCTCCTGATTGGTCT